GATTCACCTTGCAAAAACATGAGGAACATGTACATATTGATCAAACTAAATTGTACTGATTTTGGTCGGTTTAGAATTGCTCAGAAATCAGAAGCTTCAAGGTATTCGAAAACACATATTATGTACACAGACTCCACTAAAATTCAAGGTATATATTATTGGTGTCACGGTCAAAAAAATTCGGTACGGTTTGGATCGGTACAAATGGTCTCGGGATATGGTACTTTCGGGACGGGACGAGACAGACAGAACACTAAAAATGATACAATCGTCTGATGATGACAGTTTCACTTTTCAAAATCACATTCAGAAATACGTCAATTAAATCAAATATAAAGCATCTGCCGCGAATGTGATCGGCATTTCACATAGTCTGCATGGTGTACTATCACCAATTCGTTTACCTTGTGATATCGGAGTCCCAAAATACTTCCAAACTGCCGACTTTTTCGACTTAGATGCCGTAGTCATATAAATCTGACCCTCGTATGATGTTATTTGTTGTTATTTTTTCTGATTTGGATATTTATTTTTTCTTATTTTCTTGCATACAAGGGTCATACACACTCCGCGCATCTAAATTGCGGGAAATGCTTTCCTGGCCTGTCTACCCAACCAAATTCACTCAAATGATAAATAAATGTCTTTGCTTCAACTATAAAGTATTTAATCTTACCTTAGACACGTAAAACGCTTGGTAATTGAAGAAATATAAGCATGCCGCTTGAATTTTAAATTTTTTTCATTTTGCCATGCCAAGGTCACTTCCGGGTTAATCTGAGTCTAGATGTAAAACTATATCAAACGAAATCATAAGTACTTGTTACACGAAGATTCAGTTGAAAGGGAAGCAGTGTCGTTAAGAAGGGAAGTTATTTGGAAAAGTTATTGTTTCAAAATGAGAAAAGTAATGAGTATAAGAGAACGGCTTTGGAATCGATGTCTGTGTAATAAATAATTATGATTCCGTTTCAATACATGTTTTACATTTAGACTACCGGAAACAGCATTCAGCAACATGGCGGGCGATAATGAAAATATAATTCAATTGATCATATTTCGTCAATTATCAAGCGTTTTACATGTCTAAGGTAAGATTTAACACTTTAATGTTGGAACTAAATAATTACTCGATAATTTGTGTGACTTTGGTTAGTATGGTAACTATGGTTACCGAGACAGGCCAGAAAAGCGTTTACCGCAATTTGTTCCATATAATATCTACGACGGTGTATGCAAAGAAAATGATAAAAAATAAATATCCAAATAAGAACAAGGAATATCGAAGAACAGCATACAACGGTCGGATTTATATGACTAAGATGCCGGCTCGATTTTTCAATTTCTTTCCTACATCCGGCATACTGATAATGCACTCGATTTGCGAACGACAATTAAGAAATGAGTCATTCATAGCCAATCAAAATCACCGTAATTTCAACAAACAACAACAGCCAATCGAAAGTCACGTTATATCTTGTGCTTCGGTACCAAACAAAAATATTTTGAAATGTTTTTCAATCTTCAACAAAAGTCATGAAATAAGCCGAAAACGCAGGGAATTCGGAGGATTTCCGGACTGATATGTAAGTTCTATTCATGGGCAATCTAACGAATGCCACAAATGTCTAGCAGGCCAAAATGTCTGGGTGTTTTTATCAAAACAAGCCATCTATAATTTTGTCAGGCCAATGGCCGATGTCGGACGTCTATTTCGCGCACTGGGTTAAATTCAAACTTTTGGCAGAATTTATGTATTATTTTTTTACTTAACTAGAAAAATAGTAAAATCTATTGTCAGTCCAAGATACAGGGTTCACTTGGCAGGAGCGGCGATCGCTATCATTAGGGGCCTGTGAGTAATGAATCAGTGCCAATGGATACTAACCAGTGGTCATTCTGATACTCAGACCATCTCTGCAATGCAGTGGTGATTCATGACCAATCAAGGATAATGACGTCATTATGAATCATCGTTGTTCGGAGAAAGAGGGCCATCTTTTAAGAACATGGTTTCATTTTTCTAATACTGGGGTATTTTCTTTTTGTTTTGTGTTGAAATTCAAAAACAGAATAGGTATCCATATACCATGTGTTTTTAAAACTTGCCATATTTTACATATTCAAAGAAAGCTGAGTATTTCAACAGTGCATATGTGTGACATTTCTATGGGATTTCTTATCAAGATTTGAAGATTTTTGACAGTATTTATTTATATTTTATTTATTGATATGAAATCCTGCTAGATTCCATTCGTCTGGGTAATTGTAGTCGCTCAGACTTAAATTATGTATTTGGCAGCTTAAATTCACACCTCATGTTAGAATTGTGGCGGCAACTTTTTGTTAATTGGCTTCCATTTTCGAAGATTGTTCTAAATCAGACGTCCTATGGCCATTTGACGTATTCCTACAAACTATTGAGTTGTTTTCCGAAAAATAGATGGAAAAACAGACAAATCCATGGGCGGCTTTTCTATCTCCGATGACAGTTTGTTCTAGTCTCAAACTACATGTTCTTTCGACGTCGTACAAACGGAATAATTGGACGAAGTGCTTTTGGCGCCAAGTTTGAAAATACTCATTTATTTCAACGTTTTAACAGAATAGCCTTTCTTCCTCTTGAGGTATGAAGTTGCTTCAGCTAAATATGATTTGATACACGTGCGATCGACAAATACAAATAAATACAATCAAAAGAAGCTGACTATGAAAATATGTATCTCGAGTTCGACTTCTGAATACGATTTACGAAAGAATATTCTCCTACCTTTACACAAGGCCATGTTACATACCTTAGTAACTGTATGAAGACAATTGGTGCATATTTACCAAAACTCCAGCACCAGTCCTGTTACTTTTGGAACACCCTATATATTGATAGAATATCCTCCGTTCTAGTTCCTATTGCGTTATATACAAGTAAACGGTGGTAAATGCTGAACATACAGATGGATTGTAAGCTTGGATTGTATTGGATGAATTTAATGATGGTATGGCTATTAAATGGTATATATCGGGGGTATATTTGTTCAAGCAATCACATCTGTCTGTCCGTTCGTCAGTTTCATTCTATATTTATTTTAAATTGGTAAAATATTACCTACACAACAAATACACCGTTGACAAATTATCTGGAATATTGGACACTTCACAAAAATCAGTGCGCTGTCAAGATTAGTGTATCATTTACAAAAGTTGTACTTGTTTAAAATTAGGGCTTATGTAAAACTGACTAATCCAAAAGATTCTTGGTCATTATAGTCTGGTAGAAATATTGGGTATTGTGAGAATCAATCGTTTTCTTCGGATTACAATTACATTTTTTCAAAACTTTTCAGTATGAATAAGGGTTTATGTTGAACTTGATACCTCAAACTTTTGGATGCCAAAGTGGCACCATTGGGCAACTCTCTAGAGCATTTATTATATATAATACGCTGATAAAATCTATAGGAGGTACTATAAGACACCTTTATATCTAATAACGATATAAACTTGAAATGATGGTTGAGTAATGGAACACCATTTGTTACCTTAGAAACGTATTGTTTTTGAATTTCCATTATTTTCTTCATATTTGTAATACTAGCTAAAAATAGTACATGTTTAGTGCTTGACTGCAGTAGCTGAAATGATAAAGATTATCAAGACATAAATAAAAGTTCATGGCCTTTGCATGAACTGCAGAACCAGATGGCAACCTCTATAATTTAAAACTATTTCAACTGAAATAACACTTAAATGCCCAATAATGCCAAATAAGAAAATAGACGCAAAGTACTACTGGTAGTTAGTCAAATAGTTTATTGTACCTGACTAAACTAAAACAATAAACTACAATAGAAGTTACATAATATTATAATGCGTTCATTAATAGATGTTACGTAATAATACAATAGAAAATAACAATAACATTGCATTAAAGTAGTTACATAATAGCATATAACATTATGACTTTTACAAGTATAAAGTACACTGTTTCTTATAAATATGGAATATTAGATTTGGCAGATCAGATTTCAAGTTTTGGAGGAAGAGAACATTTATTTGGAGTTGGTTCAGCAATTTATTTTCTAGGCAAATCATAACCACTATATTTCATCTACAAATCAACATTTTTCAAAGAAAAAAATAGTTTAGAAAATGAAAATGTTTTCCTTGTGCTGCAATCAGAGCATAAAACTCTGCAGGACCAGCTATCAATGAAACACCTGACCTTTCTAAGTGAAATAAGGCGACATTCCTCAATCAGGGCAGTTCGTTACGTGTCTGCATTTTGAGGTGGGTATCCAAGTCACGAATCGCCCTATCAAGGTCGTCCTACATGTGCTTTACAGGAGCTTGATTAGATGACTTTTGTACCAATGGTAGCTGGTCCACATTGCCTGCCCTGAGGTAATCCCGGCAACGCAATGCCACTAGCATGTGCAAGATCATGACCATTCATCATATTTCGGCGTTATCAATGTCGCCAAAAATGCTCATATTTTTACGTATTGTAGATTTACATATCCTCTTTTGTATACTTTAATTCTAATGGTAAAAACTTTATTTTTTTCATAAAAATATTAGCGACCCCCCCCCCCTACGTCTTTTTCCTGATTCGTACAACGTGTATGGCATTATTCTGTTGGACGGGTGTAAAAAATTGACCAACAAGAACTTCCGGTCCTGCTGGACTTATCGATAACACTACCTCTGCTTGGACAGTTGCAGTACTCGATCGTGGCTTGTTCTAGGGCCCCTTTACACGATTGATTGTTACCCCTGTTAACTCATGAGCTTCAAATAACTTTTTGCCAAACAGCTCTCGGGTGACCTATAAAACAAAATTACCCTAAAAAAAGTTGGCAAAAGGTGGGACCTTGTCGTCGCAACACGTTGTCGTTTTTTCATTTTAAACGCACAATAGGGATGTGATTAATAGTATTTGTTGTATCTATATGAACTTTGTTGACATAACATCAACTTGTCTATATAATCCACAAGCTCAACAGGGCAGACAGAAAGGATCATCGCTGCAATTATGAATTGCAAGAACCTTTTTGGACTTGTCATTTTTATGACATTACTAGGTGAGTAAAAGCGTCTAATTCAAGGTCCTAAAAATACAACAAACATTTTTATGAATAAGTCAAGATCTAATTTTAAGAATAAACAAGATCTTTCCATTACACAAGCATTAATTTCCTGCCTCTGCAATGTGTATTCCTGGCTCAGCTTTTTTTAATGTTTACAAATTGCACGCCATGATAGGGTAATTTCAAAACAATTTTGATTGACATTGCAATATTGACATGCAATTGTAAAAGCATGTGGTAGAGATTTGTCATGTAGGTCCCCGCAATAAATTATTATTAATTATTTTAAGTTCACTTTTAAAACAGTGGCATGTGGACAGAAGTCTTGTGCGATAATTACAGTAATAAATGCCCATGGATAAACAATTATTATTTTCTAAAAACTCTTTTTTTAGAACTTTATAACACTTTGATCCAGAGCTAACGTAACGAGGCTTACAAGCATATTAAGTACTCGTTATTTCTTGAATGTATGAAGTACAAGTAATATACATGTAGTTTCATCATTCAAAATAAATATTTGCACATTTTTTAATGTATATTCTAAATTTATGATTTAAGAACAGGTGTATTATAACATATCTGCAACGAAAACTATTATTACGCAGAAAAGTTTTTTGTAATTTTTTTTATTACGCAGTGTCAACTATTACTACGCACGTTGGAAAAGGCGTATTAAAACTTCTTTTTGTAAGCTCCAATAGTAAGAATGCCTATATTTTTCGAAGGATTTTATTGTACAATGACTACAAGAATACTAAGGGAGAAAGATTTAAATCTCAATCATTTACACTTACCAGCTGAAATGGCAAAAATGTTTCTCGATTAGACAGCATGGGCAGTCCATTTGGAAGTGTATTAGTTCTGGGTGCACATTTTCCTATGTACACGCGTAAATGGAGCTGTATTTGACATTCGAAACCAGAATATAATGAACAATAGAAGGAATGATATGTTTCATTAGAATATTTCAAATGCTGTTTATATGGAAATGCTTGCCTAAAATGCAAAATAACTATATGTGCGGAATATGACATATGTTTGTATCATGTTTGTCGCGTAACCGTTACCGCTGCCATTTAGAATTTTGACTAGACATAGTGCTGTACAATTAGTGTATTTGCAGGAAGTGGATTCATAATACTCGTATAACTATGCAACCCATACTTTCAACTCTGAAAACTATTACAAGATCGATGTAGTCTTATATGACATGTTGAATGTCAGATGTTTTTGGATGGTACCAGCTCCACTGATTTTGCATTTAATCATGAAACGCTTAGACACCAGACACCTCAAAACAAACATATTCTCTTTGTGACAAGAGGAAAAATGTTTCAGTAATATGTTGTGCCTTACGGCAAAGTAAAGATACATTTCCGGGACGACTTTTTATTCATCTTAAGATTTTAGAAAAACAATTAATTCACAAAATACAGTTGAATAACACACTACAAAACATATCTACATATAACACAATGACACGCAGTTTAAATAACAGTTAACTGTTTTTTTGTTACATACCAATGTCAAAATAAGTAACATTTTCGAAGTGAAACTTACACGCTCCGTGTACGTTAATAGATTTACTGAAATGTATAATGTATTTCTTTCGAGTTTTGCTTCACTGCGCCCACTATTATCTATCTTTGCCAATATGTTTTTTGCCAACAATATTCTACAAACTGCTAGGATGAATCAATTTTATGTCTGGTAGAAGACTAGAAATAAATGTAAAATGTATTTTAAGTTCAAAAATATAGAATTAAACCCACGTCCTCCATTTGCAAATTAACTGTACCCTGTTTCCCTTTTAAGTTTTCCCCCTGCGTATCATAAAAAGAACAATGAGTCCATGCGTTGCAAACGGTCACATGTTTTCAACAAAACAGCTCATCCAAGCGCACTTACACCACGCACTAATTACGCTGTGCCAACCTTGTCGACTAACCGCGTCGGCTCGTTGTTAGTGCACCACAGGAGTTCCATTGCAATAGACCGTAATGTCTTTCAAAAGAAATATGCGAGTGCAGGTACGCTTGGATAAGCTGTTTTTGTTGAAAACGTGTGACCATGTTATTCGCTCAGCGAGGGCTATATATTTTTCGTGATACGCGGGGAGATATAAAACTCATAAAAATATTACGCAACTGACTAGCAAGTGAATTGCGTAATATTTTCTCCCCAGGTATCACTAAAAATAACAATAAGCCCTGCAGTGCTTATTACATGCTCATGTGTTTTCAACAAAAATCGCTCATCCAAGCTCTCTTACACTTACATAATAACACATCGCGGTTTATTACAATCGAACTCCTTTGGTGCACTAGCATCTAGTTGACGCGGTTGACACACGTGGTTAGCCGACATGATTGACACATCCTAATCAGCGGTATATGTGCGCTTGGATGAACTGTTTTTATTGAAAACGGGTGACCATGTAATTTGCACATCATGGGCTTATTGTCTTTCGTGATACCTAGGGGGAAACTTATTAAATATTATGCAATTGACTTACTGCAGGCAGTTCCTAAACGCAGCCTAAGTGTATACTTATCCCATGGGTGCTTAACTTGACAAAAACAAACAAAGAGGCATCTTCCAAGCTGGGCTTGGATTTCAAAGTTACCCAAGGAGTGTCTAAAGACAATAGTCCTTTTTATGTAACCACCAAAAAGTGGTGACATATTGTGGTGGTCTCCGTTTCTTGACGGCGGTTGGCGGTTGGTGGTTGGCGGTTGGTGGTTGGCGGTTGCTCGGTTGGCGTCTGTAACAAATTCTTATAGCTTACAATAACTTAACAAGTACTGTTTAGACTGACATCAATTTTTTCAAAATCATCTACAAGTTCTCAGAAGTTCAAATCTGACTTTATATTTAAGATTTGACCTTCAATGACATATATTAAACATCTGATAAATTAAAGATTTTCCGATATGCAGATGACACAAATATTTTATTAACTGATGATAACATTGATAGTTTAAAAATGATATAAATGAGGAATTGAAGAAGGTTCATAATTGGATGATATCTAATAGATTAACACTCAATGTAGAAAAAAACAAAATTTATGATTTTTGACATAAAAAGAATCAACAAAATTGACAACTTTGAAGTAAAATTAAATAATCAATCAATAGAAATGGTAAATAATATTAATTTCCTCGGAGTAATCATTGACTCCAAGTTAACATGGGCTGCTCATATAAATGCACCTTGTACCAAATTTTTTAATTTAATTCGATTAATATATAAAACTAGACACAAACTAACATTGAATGCCTTGTTGACAACTTATTATTCGTTAGTATATTCATATATAAGTTATGGAAACATTTTATGGGGCAATACAACAAAAAATCACTTAAACATACTATTTATTTTGCAAAAGAAATTTCTAAGAATAATGACAAATTCTGAAAGAACTGCTCATTCAAGTCACATCTTCAAAAAGCTCAAAATATTAAATATTTTTGACATTAATGAATTTCAAACGCTCACTTTTGTGTAGAAAACTGTAACAGAATCTGCAGACTTCCCATTTCGTAATTTTAAACATTTTTTCAAGAGAGAAAAGATATGCACACCCATGATACTAGATACAAATATAATTTAACAATCAACAGGTTTAGAATTGAAACTGGTAGAAAACCAATTCCGATTAGAGGAGCAATCCTATAGAACTCACTGGCTATAGACTTTAAAAAGGCAAAGCATGTTAAGAAATTCGAAAAACTGATGAAGAATGATCTTATCAGTAAATACCAATGATAATCTATGCTTCCATTTTTCTCTTTCAGTTTGATTCATTTAACTTTTGATCTACGGCTAAAACATTACTATTAAACATTATGACCCATGGAATATGTACGCCCTCCGGGGTGTCTTTTTCATGTTATTTATGAAATATTGTATGATGGAATTTTGAATTGAATAATTGAATTGACCTCTTCAAGGTCAAAAAAGGTCAAAAAGTCTTTTTTCAATTTGCTTCAAATCGACCAATTTTTTTCAAAATCATCTACACGTTCTCAAAATTTCAAATCTGACTACAGATTTGACCTTCAATGACCTTCTCAGGGTCAAAAAAGGTCTTTTTTAAACTTTCGTCAAATTGACCAATTTTTTCTTTGTCATTGAAGGTCAAATCTATAGTCAGATTTGACCTTCAATGACATTCTCAAGGTCATAAAACGTTTTGACCTTCAATGACCTTCTCAAGGTCAAAAGGGTATTTTTTATCTTGCTTCAAATTAACCAATTTTTTTTCAAATCATCTACAATTTCTCAAAAGTTCAAATCTGACTATAGATTCAATGACATTCTCAAGGTCAAAAAAAGGTTTTGACCTTGAGACCTTGAGTAACTTTTTATCTTGCTTCAAATTGAACATTTTTTTCAAAATCATCTACAAGTTCTTAGAAATTCGAATCTGACTTTAGATTTGAGAAGATTGAACTCATAATATTATGATGGTGACATTTTGTCATGTTAATGCCTTGTTCAAAATTTGAATTTAGTTTATATGTTTTGCAAAATTAGTGAGCCTTTAATACATGTACTTCCAGATTATCAATTAGAGGCAGCGTTTTATAAGGATTGCGTTTTATATGTCAGGAAATGTAAGGCTGAAGGACATCGATGTTTCAAAAATTGGTGTACTATTCCAAAGGTTGGTACACTTTACTTCCGATATTGAATAACTGTGATGGCTCCACTCAGTCATTTGGTTTAATGCTTTCCTTGTAGTGTCAGCAATGATTAAAGATAATGTAAAAGGCAAGCCGATGTTTCCCGTACAATCCTTTAATTTTCATTTATTTATTCATTTTTTATTTATCTTTTTATTTTATTGAAATTCAATCGAACATGCATACATTGCCTGTGACCTTGACACCCTAGGTCCGAGAGTGCATAATAATCACACAGTAAAAATAATTTAAAGTAAAAAAGTAAAATGTACTTGTGCGCCATACAAAGACTACCTATAATACTAATGCACAGGTAAACCAAATAATATATCATTTCACCTATGAGACATAGCTGAGAAGGTGGTGGTCAAGAGATGAGTTTCTAAATAGCTTTGAAATCTCGCCAATTCTCGTTTTTTCATGACATTTTAAGAGATTTGCACTTTTTACCTCCAATGACTTACTTTTCTTTATTTTTGATAGCCTCTTTGAATTAAGTGACAAATTTTCTCCAAGGAACCTCGCGAGTACCGAATGACCACAAGATCCCGGAGAATCAAATCACTACGCTATGATTTGCGACTATTAGTGAAACAGCCCTAACGAATAGTAACATTTTTAGCTTATAAAATATCTTAAAAATGAAACAAAGCAGTTATAATACAAGGATTAATATTGGTTCTTGTACATGCATTCTTTGAACAATCACTCTCTCAATAATGTTTTCAGAATCATTATAAATGGATTACTTTATCTCCAAGACAATTTCAATATACTGGATCTTACAAAACTCCCCTTATTTCTTAAAAATCCAGTTGACTCGCCTGGAGCCGCCGTATTGTTTTTATACGAGAAGCTTATCTGAACCCTTTAAACTTTCTGGTTCTTGTCTAATTCATGGGCTTTCAGTTGAAAGCCCATGACTAATTGAATTGATTAGGCGTCTTATGAGAAGTCTACTCGTTGCATATTATATAATAGTACAAGTCTTTTAATTTAGGGAGCGAATGTGAATTCAAATTGTTGGAAGCAATGTATTGGAAAAGCAGCAAGATCCAAGATGGAATTTAAAACATGTATAGCAAAATGTAGTAAAAGGCCAGGTAAGTTCCCGACAGACCTTTGGAAGTTGGCATAACCAATAATTCATTCTTGGCTGGTTTGATGAACTTTGTCGATTTGACCTGATTTGACCAAGTATTTTAGAAACAAACAAAATATGAGGTTTTTCCCTGTATCGATTACTGAAAACCTCAACATGCGAACACTTAATTGTTTGAGTCTCATCCGGTGGAATTAGGTTCGGCAACATTAATCCGATGCATTATTTTTGTTGAAATCATTGCTTATTCTTAGATGTTTGCCCGCCTACATCTGATCCCGAGTACGGAGGCAGTCCAGCACGCGTATGTTGTATCAACAGTACCTGGTATAGAACCCAAGGTGGACAAGCTTATTCGAGTCAGAATATCCCCGATGGAGAAAATGTAGCGCACCTGTGTCCCAAAGGTCAAGTCTACAAAGTGTTCAATCACAACAAATGCGGCTGTAGTGATGGTAAGAGAAGCACTTTTCGCAATGGATAATATTCAAAAGAAATGATTCTAGTTTAACATAGGGTAAAAGAACAAATCTTCAAAATAACAAAAGCTTCAAATCTTACCTTTGCTGACCTTTGATGACCTTTTAGAGAGCGCAGGTCTCATGTTCCTTGTTATCACCATTAAGACAAGTCAAGAACGTATGTGGGTCAACTAAGAGGATTCACAGATTCTTATACTACACTCCATGTCTAGTTGCTAGTGCGTTCACGTTTATAGGAGTATTTCTTAATCTGTTTCCTTTGTTTGCGAAAGTTAAATAAATATGATATTTGTCGGTTGTCTTTTAGTACAAAATTTTAATGATTCTGTTTAGAATCGGATTCTGAGATTTGTACCTGGGGTCCATGGAGTAATGAAACGCTGTGTACCTCTTGTGATCAATCCTGCTCTCAGTTCTGTCTTAGATACAGAAAAAAGCATCCTCCACAAAACAATGGAAACGACTGTGTTGGTCCAAGTATGGAATACGCCATTAGGAAATGCATCGGAGGAGATTGTGTGAACCACTCTAGCTTGTATTTACAGGCAAATTCTACAACTCCAAAACACGAAAAAGGTTAGTCCCCTCGATATCAAGATAAGACCATCTGTATTGAGAAATCAACGGATTAATCATACACTGTAATTGCACTGTTGTCAATAATAATATTGCGTCTGGTTCAAAGTGAACTTGTAGTATAGGTCTCAAAAGCTACGTTCACACCGACGGCGAATGCCACGCTTTAAATCGGCGAGCAAAGCGGCACCAAAGCATGGCGCTTTAAAGGGACTTGTAAAGCGGCACCAAAGCGTAACAAAGCTTGATTAAAGCGTCGGGATCGTAATACGTCGTAGAAAAGCTCGAAGTAAAGCGGGATGCTCGGCAAGAGCGCCCAACTTTTTTAAACTGTTTAAAAATTTTGGGCGCTCCGTTACGAATTGATTAAAGCGCCGAGAGCGTAATAAAGCTTAACAAACCGTAACAAAGCTCAGCAAAGCTTGACCCAAAGCGTAGGAAAGCTTAACAGAGCTTGGTTCGAAGCGGGGACCCCAGTCTCTTCACGGTCTGTTACCACTTGACACGCTTCGTTTAGATGTCTCAAGCTTTGCTACGATCTGTCATGAAGATCTGACACGAGGTCAGACGCTTTTATCAATATTTGACACTCTTTGTTACGCTTTCATGAAGGACTCTCAAGCTTTTTAACGAATTGAGACGCTTTAATCAAGGATTGAAACACTTTGTTAAGCTTTGTTACGCTTGACAAGCTTCCTCACGCTTTCTCACGCTCTTTCACGCCGTGCGACAAACATCATATCTTCTTCAGATAGGTCATGATCTGGTCCATCTGGAAATTCTGGATCTTGTTGTTCTGCCATCGTTTTCTCGAGTCACAGATGCAATGGTTTTATGGATTTACTGCATCTTTATACAGCCATTTGATCAAAAGCGTCATGATAAAGGCGATCTCGAAAATGCACAACAGAGCTTGGCAATCGTATCAGAGCCTGATTAAAGCGTCATAATCGCATCAAAGTATAATAATGCTTACCAAAGCTTATCAAAGCGTGATTTTAAGCGTAACAAAGCCTGGTCGAAGCGGGATCATAGCGTGAGGAACCGTAACAAGTCGGGAAATCAGAGCGTATCAGAGCTTATCAGAGCGTAACATTACTTAGGAGATCGTGATATTTTTGGGAAAAGTAAACATAAATGACAGCGCTTTGCTCGCCGATTTAAAGCGTGTCATTCGCCATTGGTGTGAAAGTAGCTTTAAAAATGTTTGGCGCTCTTGACGAATATCCCGCTTTACTCCAAGCTTTTCTACGACCTATTACGACCCCGACGCTTTAATCAAGCTTTGTTACGCTTTGGTGCCGCTTTACAAGCAACTTTAAAGCGCCATCAAAGCGTCGTTGGTGTGAACGTAGCTTATGGTACGTTCACACCAACGGCGCTTTGATGGCGCTTTAAAGCGGCTATTGTGTTTATGTCGTTTTGTTCCAATGAGGTTCGGATAGATGTTTCATTTCATTCCGAACATATGAGAACGAAAGAAGTGTCTGATGCGTTTTCTAAAACAATATAGAGAAAGGTATATATATATAATTCAATTATAATGTTACCATCCAAAAGATGACCATTAAATCGACGATGTGTACAATTTTCAAAATGTTTTGACCACTGGTTTAAGAGAAACGCGTGTTCAAAAAGTTCACTATATCGATACCACTCCTTTCCCTTGAACAGATGATCAAAAGAATGACGAGAGAATATCATTAAAACCTAAACGATGTTGGGGATATGGTGACGTCCATCATTCCACATTTGATGGCCTGAAGTACGACTTCCAAGGTGTCTGTAAATACACACTAGTAGAAGACATTACTCAGGGATTTTTCAGGGTATTTGTTTATCAGTTTTACATCTTCTCTCAGCTTTTCTTCATTATCATCCTATGGATTTTGTTTTCGATACATTAACGAGGGAATAACTTTGTTGATGAGTATTACAACCATACTATAGGATTCATAAGTAATTTACCCACTTTTGTGTTATATCTTGGTTCAGATTTATCAAATATCATAAACATCTACATAATAAAATAAGAAAAATAGTCAAATCCTCAATATCAAAAGAAAGTATCCAAAACATGAAAAGAGGTAGTTAAGGTGGTCAAAAAATGCTAATGAAAACAAAATACGTAGAATATTTACATATTTTTTCGATTCTTTATCACCTAAATAATGAATGGCGTATTGTTAATTTTGTAAACCTATTTTATTTAAAAACTATTTCTTATATTTGCAATGCTTATCGCGCTAATCATAATTTATAGGTCTTTGTGAAAAATCGCAAGTGGAAACTCACAGGGACATCTGTAACACAATACGTAGAAATTCACATTGCAGGGGATGTAGTGATACTTGATGGCCCAGGACTGAAAAGAATTAAAGTAAGCATAGTGATGTAATGAGACCGTTATAGGGGGTATTGAGATGGTACTGGAAATATAGCTGAGCGAAAATCAACACGGATAAAATCAACAGTACACGGTTGGAAACATATTACATTGCCGGGCCAGTTCTAGGGGTTTTAGTGCAAGTTTAGAAGGCATTCATTTTACGATATCGACCTGAGCAATATGTGACGTTAGTGGTGGTCAATACAATTCTCGACCGGCAATTTTCCCCGGAAAACTAGATATCGTTCAGTGCGTAAGATTTTCTTGCTGTTTCAGTCCTGGTCATTAAGGTATGAGGTTCCATATCCATCCGCCAAAAGGTATGACCCCTATATAGTCCATTTAAAAACTTGTGGTTTTGTTCTGAATAACGCCATAGTTGGCTTCTAGGGTACCTAGTATGCCACTATTTGGTATCAAAATAAAGAGGAGGAGTTCAACTTTCATTTGAATTACGAGAATAGCGATGTAGGTCAAAAATAGTTCCGACGTGAGCATGTTTACTACGCGTTTGCCCATCATATCAGAATTGAGGAAGTGGTAGCAAACGCGAGTCACAATAAATGGACGCTGATATCTCAAAAAGTAACCTGACTCCCTATAATTTGATGTAGATCAATCGAACCCCTATATGAACAGGTACATTTTGATATATAACACTATGGGGGGTAAGCGTTTTATAGTTGGTCACGAACGCCATATGTGCAAAGTATTGTTATGAATTTTCGAATTCGGTGTTGGATTACGGTACTCATACCTTAATATGAGGCATAAAATTGTCTGCTAGTTGGCCAGAGACCAATATTCTAGCAGATTTTGAGAACAGAATCGATTTTTTCGTTCTGCGTAGGGCAAACAATGATTTGAAATCACTTTCAACCATTCTGTGAGTATTAGAATGGTCATAAGAGGCCCGTGGAGGGTCTGGAATGAAAGAAAGCCTTCTGAAATTCCGTCAAAATTGCAGGTTATTTCTTCATTTTTTGCTAAAATTACATGATTTTCAGGGCCCATATCTCAGTGAAATTGCTACAATGTAGCGATTTTTCATTTTTACAGGCTAGATACACGTGTCAGGTGGACAGAAACAGTAAGCATGTGTGATTTTCAAATTGCTACATTGTAGCAATATTTATTTCAAAATACAGGTGTGAGGGAAACTGCAATTTAGTTAGATTTGGGCGAAAATGGCCAAATTTCAGTCAAAATCCTCGGGACACAGGCCCTTTGTCTTAGATTTAGTCAATGATGCAACTCTTAGTAGAAGGTGTGTCATATAGGGAATGAAAGCTGTTTGTCAGACGTATCATTTTCTTCAATAAACTCAGAGATAGTCAGGTTAGATTTGTGACGTCACAGTGGCAAAGTTAGACCAGCATATTTAGACGTATTTGGGGTAGGGCAAATTAACCCTTTCTAGCCTAAATGGATAAATATTTCACATATTCAGCCAGTTCCGACGTTTTTATGCATTTTTGAACTAGAAATGATATTTTCTGCCAAAAAAAGTTGCAGAGACAAAAATCAGTGTGATGTCATAACACATTAAGGTATGAGGTTCCATATCCATCCGCCAAAAGGTATGACCCCTATATAGTCCATTTAAAAACTTGTGGTTTTGTTCTGAATAACGCCATAGTTGGCTTCTAGGGTACCTAGTATGCCACTATTTGGTATCAAAATAAAGAGGAGGAGTTCAACTTTCATTTGAATTACGAAAATAGCGATGTAGGTCAAAAATAGTTCCGACGTGAGCATGTTTACTACGCGTTTGCCCATCATATCAGAATTGAGGAAGTGGTAGCAAACGCGAGTCACAATAAATGGACGCTGATATCTCAAAAAGTAACCTGACTCCCTATAATTTGATGTAGATCAATCGAACCCCTATATGAACAGGTACATTTTGATATATAACACTATTGGGGGTAAGCGTTTTATAGTTGGTCACGAACGCCATATGTGCAAAGTATTGTTATGAATTTTCGAATTCGGTGTTGGATTACGGTACTCATACCTTAACGGTGGTAATAATACTAATGGCGTCATTTCTGCGGGCAATATAGTGAAATATTGGACCTTGGGCCTTCGGCCCTTGGTCCAATATTTCACTATACTTCCCTTCGAAATGACGTTATTGTACTGTTATCGACTTTCAAGACTCGTCGGTCTCCATGTTGATATGATGATGACGTTGCACTTTTGATGTCCTTGTTCAAATCATTGGTACATGTTAGGTTATCTGAATATGATTTAGGTAAATGGAAACCACATCAAACAAAGTTCCCTTCCCTATAATAACGCACGATGGTACACTGCCAATGTCGTAAGCAACAGTCTCACGTTTGAGAGTACGCCACTCAGTCTAAGTATAAAGTTCATCGTCCATCCTTATAGCAATCGACCTGCGGCCCCTGGTTATGGTGACGTATGGGTTACATTGGGAAGACAGTGGATGCAAAAGGTTTACATAATGTTATAGCGAAACCTCTCTAATATCTAGATTAGATACACTTATGTACACGTGCAGATATCAAAAATGATTGGCACATACAATTTTTTTTACTTTAAATTATTTTTTCTTGTTACTTAGGTGGATGGCCTTTGCAAGAATTATGATGACATTATTCAAAATGACTGGAAGGATAAAAATGGGAATTACTTGGCAGAGAAGGACACCAACAAGGAATCATTACTTGGTACCAGTTACAAAGTCAACGACCCACAGGAACCAAGGTCATTATCATATGAGAGTTTACAATACTGTTGTGAATGTTGACAGTTTTAATGATAACGAATTTGAGATTTTATAGTATTTGCAAGATTAGATGAAATATGAGTTAATTAATTTGAATGTCTATATTGATATCTTATTTTAAACAGACCTCCTTTGCGCCAATTACTAATTGAAAAACAAACTTTCGAGGGCACAATATTTTCTGTATTTCACGAGAAATCATTGAATAACGTTTTTATTCCATGGTCGTTTTCTTTACACTCAGATAAAATTCCACTAAACTCAAATTCATAAGATTTTTTCTCGATAAAAATTGCTTTCCTATTTTTACAGATGCGTGTTTTTATCCTTAGATTATTATTTGAGATGATAACAGTATAATTTCCTGATATTCAAATCAGATATTTATAGCAAAATGCAAAGATTGGCAAGCGTCAGGTAACAAGATGTACATTACGGATATTATGGTAACTAAAGTTTCATTGGCAGTTCGAGTCTTCAAAATATGAGTAGTACACCCCCAATCCGCAACATCCGCTGAACAGCGCTGTAAACAGTATTGAACAGTGCAGTTCGAGTACTGCGCCGAACAGCGCTGTACAGTGCTATTCTTACATCACCTGTTTTGAACAGCGCTGTATAGTACTGTTTTTACGGCGCTGTACAGTACTATTTTAGAAAACAGCGCTGTACCGCAATGTTCTTACAGCGCTGTACAGTACTGTTTCAAAAAATGCTGTATGTTTAAAAAAACAGTTTGAGATTGACCGTTGCCCGGCGTGGACCAATTTGGTAACAATTGGTCCATGCCGGGCAACGGAGTATAGAGTTTGAATAACTGCTTACTCCTCCTTGTCTTGTGAGAATTCGTATCCCATGGTGACGCCACCTTCACTCTGTATCCCAAGGTAAGTGGAGAGTTTGTGTAAATACAGGATATATTTTATAAGGTCCATCCAATTGTTTCAGATGTGTCGACATCGTAAGGACCAAGACTCTTCCCTCTACTCCAATTATTATGGCCGCTGCATCAAAGTTCTGTCGCAGCATTATCATGCGAAGTGGATTTTTCAAACAAGTCGTTGATAGGTAAGTTATTCCGACTGAGATTTCACCTTCTTTGACGATTTTGACTAATGGTATCAAGGATTTTATATGTTTGCTGTTTTAAGTTGCGGAAGGGAGGGGCGCCAGTTTGTGTTATGGGAATTGGATAGTGCAGTAGAATTAAGTAACATAAATGAGGCTATTTCAAGATAAAATTTTTGACTTTCTCTTTGAGTGAAATATAGTATATAAAGGTTAGACATTTTCGACTTCTGTAAAAATAAAAAATCTTGTTTGTCAAATGTGTCTACGGTTTGGGTCTACGTGTGCGTTCACCAAGGGAGGTTAAACTACACGCCTGTAAGAGAACTCGTTCATGAACGTGTCATAATACCCCAAAGATTACTGTCCTAACTATTTTTCTAAGGCCTTTACATTCAATCGGGATACTAGAAAGGAGACAACTTATCCACGGAGGGTCAAAATTCTACACGTTAAAGTACACATTTTCTTGTAAACGTAACCTCCATGCCAAGTAAAATTCAAAACAAATCTTATTACACTTCCAGGATGACCGTAGAAGAGATTAAAACTTGGGAAGCCAACTGTAAGATGGACTTAAACGCAGAGCCGAAGGCAAGGTGCGACATTCTCGAAGCGTTTGTCATCACATACAGGAACAATGCTCGGGACATCATAGGTTGGCGGGAGAATTTCAACTGCAGTAAGTGCATAAATGCGATAATTAACGACGAAGTGCACATGATCTTCACTGGCGGATCCAGAAGGTAACAAGGAGTGGGGGAAATTTAAAATATTAAAATGGAAAAATTGGGCCCACATTTTGAAAATTTAAGGCCCATTTTTGATAATTTGCCCTAAGCCCCCTCTGGATCCGCCAGTGATCTTATATTAAAATATACATTACACTCACTCATTTAGATCTTATTAGATTTTAAACATGTTGGCTTAGTCATGGTAGCCATTTTGAATATCTTAAGAAATATAAGCGATAATACTAATATTAATATGGTGTTTTCATTATTTAGTAATAATTTTAGGTGTCATGTGTTGTAAAACCTCACGTCATTGTTAACAGTAGTTGTATGAGATGATTTTGTAAGAGAAAGATTGGCAAAAAATCATATCTGCTTTTAGGCCATTTTTGGATTTTCCGTCGTAAAATCTTGACTGTAAAGTCTGTCTACACGCTTATATTGCTATGTTAAAATCATTTTTACATTTAGACGTGACGAAGAGCATCGTCAAAATCCGGTTATCAGACATTGCTGATTGGTCGCTCCAGATAACAGACAGAAAACACAGATGTATTATACTTACTATTTTATATGTATAGCACAATGTTCTGCAAAATTTAGATTTTTCTGATTTTGCCAGGATACATTATAATATGATTACAGCAATTGAGTGTGGGGAAAATGAACTGTTTATGTATGATGGCCCAGTTTGTGAGGATCATTGTGTGGTGAATGAACCGCGTTGGTGTGTACAGCACACCCAAGAGGGTTGTTTCTGTAAAACAGGCTTTGTTAGGTGCAATGGAAAATGTATCATAACAGGTATTTGTAGCACCTTTTCAAATGAATTTTGGATGACAAATAGTAGGTTTGCAATTAAAAAGATCTGAGAAAGCCTATATACATCAATAGTGAAAATCTGATTAATAACCACCATTTTGTGATAAACGTATGGTCCTTCCAATGGTCAGTTCAGAATTAGGGGTAGTGGAAACATAATCTAACGATAAACTAGAAATTTTAGGGTGATTATAATAAGCTTTTCTCAACCACATTTGAATATGTTTTCCATCTTAGGCTGAGCCCATGGGTATCAACACTTTATCATATTCCTTAATGAGTTTGTGAGACAATCGTTTTAACCTTGTCTAACCTCTCACATTTTCATCTCGTTTTTAAAGTTTGTTTCTAAGATGAAAGTGTATAGAAAATTAATTTCAGTTTAACACATTAGAAGTTGATCGCAATTTTAAAGCAAAGGCTAAAACGTATATGATCGTTTCTGTATCATTGTGGTACTAAACATGGGTGTAGGGCTATATTTTGAGTTGGAACGCACACTCGGGGATGCTTGAGTCCCACCGAAGGCCACGCATCGTGGGAATTTTTTTTCAAGGACATTATTTTATGGAATCTAAGCGCTTTTATCAACTTTAAATGTTGACAATGGTAAACATACACATACGGTAGGAAGTATCAATAAAGGATAGGTATCGATATGGAGAACTGAATTCAACAATGTTTTCCTCTTAAACCAATTATTGAAAACATTCTGTAAAAAAACATGGTATTTTATGTAATGTTGACTGATTAACAACAATTTAATGCGAAAATTATTTAGAAATATTTGATATAACTGTTTTTGTTAACATTTTTTGTTTTTTTAGTGCAATTGTTTTTGCTCCTTTCTACCAATTCTTGAGAATGAAATAAAATGTCTTTCCGAACCTTTTTGGAACAAAATACCATATACACCATGTTTTTGGACCTCTCAATATTAAAGTTATACAAAGGAACTTTTGGTTCATTTTAAAAAAGTATTCAAAAAATTAAAACAAAATCCCCCCAAAATAGATAAAAATCAAAAAAAACAAGATACTTTTTTAAAATGAACCAAAATTTCCTTTGTACAATTACAATATTGAGAGACCTAAACATGTTGTGTTTATGTCGTTTTGTTCCAATGAGGTTCGGAAAGATGTTTCATTTCACTCTGGAAACATGATACCAAGAACAAAACAAGTGTTTGATGTGCTTTTTAAAACAATATAGATGAAAGTATGTATATCTATTTCAAATTATATTGTTACCATTCAAAAGATGGCCATTCAATTGACAATTTGTAAGATTTTCAAAAAATTTTGATGACTGGCTTAAGAGAAACGTGTTTTCAAAAAGTTCGCCATATCGATACCCAAATACTCTTTGCAAATAAATGAATGCATTAACACATTTTTTATTTTTTCAAATTCATTTGGTACGCCTGTGCGTATTTTGCGTAATAGGCGCTACGCCCATGCTAAAGATGAACAACATTTTGCTATGATTTAGTAGTGTATACAGTTATAGTTCCAAAGAATACTACAGAGACCTCTTTATTGATGAATTCGTTGTGTTGTTTAACGTTGTTATGCAATTCAGATAGAGTGGATTGTACTTGGGGTCCATGGAGTGATGATATGATGTGTACCTCTTGTGATCAAACCTGCTCCACGTACTGTCTAAAGTACAGGGAGAAGAATCCTGCTCAGAACCGTGGGAATGACTGTGTTGGTCCAAGTATAAAATACGTCAGTAGAAGATGCGCAGGAGGGGAGTGTGAGAAAACAGATACTATCTATAAAGGTCAGTTGATACTGAATAAATGCAGGGTGAGCAAAAATTATAAATATACCAAGTCACTTTTTGAATTTCCATATCAATAACATTTTAGCAGGGGGTGCAAGAATCGCTTTTGCATTTATTACTGACATTGTATATAAACCCTTTGGGGTTTCTGAATAAAAATTGTCTCCAGACATGAGACTGGACAGACGGTAATATAAAGTTGCTAGGATAGTATTTGAAGCAACAGTTTACGACATGGCTCATATACCAAAATAGTATAAAATAGTATAGGTAATAGTGCCAGATTAACATTGTCCAGTCTGTCAGATATATATTTATGGCACACATGTTCAAGCAACCTCGAAATAAAATTTCGTATACTTCCGTTTCACTCACAGTAGACCAAAGATTTAGCCATGAAAAACATTTGAATCGTTTAAACCAAAATTGAACTGAAACTGTTTATAGGACGAAAGAAACGACAAACTCCGAAGGAGCCGCCGACAAAAGAATGTAGTGGAACAGGCGACGTTCATTATTCCACATTTGATGGGCTGAAATACGACTTCCAAGGGATCTGTACATACACGCTAGTTGAAGACACCACTTTTCTTAATACCTTCAAGGTATGTATACAATGCTGAAGCTAAGATTTTTCAAGGGGGGAGGGGGGTCAGTGTGTTTCTATTAGTGAAAATTTACTTTCACTGAAGTAAAAGATCGTCTGTGAGGCAAGATATTTCAGCCGAACAAATCTGCTCTTCCCCACGTGAATAGGGCAATTTAGATTAAAAACTCGCATAACATGGGTATGAATTTCTATCGCACACTTTGGGGGCTACATTGTGATCAGCTTGCCTGACGGACGGGACGGGTGTATGTGAGAATTGGCATTCCGATAAATTTTGTGTTTCTACGAATGAAAGTTTATAATTGATTCGTTTTTGGGCATTCTGGTTAAATGATGAGGCTGCTGTTGCATCGTAACCTTTTTGATATTGTAAATTGCTTTTTGGTACCCATTTAAAGGGATAAGCATTTATTAATTATTAATTGTACAAAGAATACAACTAAGCTCACGTGTCATAGTGACTGTTCATTTTTAGCCCCTCGTTATGCAATAGCAACATATAAAGTATTCAATGAGAAATAAGGAAAATAATAATATAGAAAAAGGTTCGTCTACAGAGTGGTTCAATAAAAATGTTACAAGTATTAAAAAATGTCAATAGTTTTTATAACATTGGCGTTTACCCTAAAATATACTGGGTATTCAACCATGGAGGATTTTAAATCTGCTAGTATCAAGTTAATCGATAGAGATTGCTCTTTAAGAATCCAATTCATATTTTAGGGTAAATGCCAAAATTATAATTATATTGACCATTTTGTACTTGTAACATTTCCTCTGTAGATTATCTTATTAGAGGTCTAGCTGTAGAGATATAGTATAGATGTCTAGATAGATACATAAGATCGACATCATCATACTGTTGTAGAAAATATTCATTTCTTTTATAATTATTCAATATTATTATGATTGCGGATAGTTATCATTCTATGTGTAACTATTTGTCATGAATTAAAGGTCCATGTGAAAAATCACCATTGGAATTCAGCGACTTCTGTAACAAAGTATGTGGAAATTCACTTACCAGAGAAGCCAAATGTATGGACTATTATCAGATTTGAACAAGATGGTCACGGAAAAAACGAAATAATAGTGAGAAACATATATATTTTATTTGTTGCCTCCTTGTATACCATTGGTTTATCCAATCTTCAAGGCTATCATCTCTATAACAAGTAAAAACTTAAAACTAATTCCCCTGCCGATATTAAGCCAGTCAATTCACACACGTTGTTATCAAGGAACACTCAATATCAGCTTAACCCATCCACGCCTGCCATCGGATCAGGTATCTCCGAAATAAAACACTTTTAATACAGGTTCAATACGATCAAATTCGACACTGTCTTAGCTTTAAAGGGTGGCGCATATCGAACGTTCGTTTCTGGTGTTGCTCGCCGTTAAGTAAAGGCCCGATCCCGCAATGATGCTCAAGGGTTCACAGGCTCGAGGTCTGGGTCAATTTTGTAATTAATGTTTAGTAAATTGATAGGTCGCCAATTCTTAAAAAAAGCAGAATAATTTTCTCCCTTTGGTATCAGAGATATCTTACTTTTGACTCATTGAAAGTAAACCTTTTTAAAATGGCAAAGGAGTTGTTTCGATATGGAGAACTGAATTCAACAATGTTTTTCTCTTAATTCAACTATTGGAAACATTCTGTAAAAAACACGGTATTTTATGTAATGTTGACTGATTGACAACAATTTAATGCGAAAATTATTTAGAAATATTTTATATAAATTAAATTTAAGGCAAGCGCAAGGAGACTTAAATAATTTTATACAGAGTAATTATCCAATCAATTACTTAGTTTCACTTTCGCCTGTGTCTAGGGTTATCATATCTTAGCAAGTAGCCATCACATGGTCCCTTCACTGGTCATTCATTGAACTGCTAGCAAACTGTGCGCACGTCAAGGCTTCACATTATATGTTTAAATAATCAGTTAGCCAAATACATGTATACCTAACTTCAATACTTTGAATATTAAAGAAAACTTAATTTGAAAATCTTAATTTGGTACTAAAAAGAAGAAATCGTTAGCTATTAAATAGCTCAAGAAACAAGGACATACTTTAGGATTTTACCTTAGACTAAAACCCGGGATAATCCGGTGAGTAGACACTATATTATTTAGAAATGGAGACTGAACCAACCAAAGCAATATTAGTAGGCCACTCATTTATTCGTCGCTTCAAATACTTCGCCAGCAATACACGGGACAATCGGGTAAAACCAAACCTAGGGTTGAATCATATCAAAATATTCTACGATGGCATTGGCGGAAGGAAAGTAAAAACTATATTGAATCAAAATCTAAAACGTCAATTGTTATATCAAAATCAAAAAATAGTAATTCTCCAGATCGGCGGAAACGATATCGCAGATGGAATGAGACCAGAAACCGTCGCATCTAACATTGAATCGTTAGTCGTTAAATTACATCACGAATACAATGTCGAATTCGTCATGGTATCACAACTAATAGGACGAACATCGCAAACCGCACAATACAACGATAATGTACGGCAATGCAATCGCATGCTTGGAACATTACTAGAACAACACCCATTTGCCCAATTATGGAACCACAAAGGCATTTGGAACAGTAAATTCAATCTCTACAACGGCGATGGCGTGCATTTTAATGATATAGGAAACTATAAATTATATCGTAGCTATAGACACGCAATAATCCATGCAGAAGCGCAACTTTCTTAGGCCAACAAAATTGTGGTAGGTTCAGTATCCATTACATTGACATATAACGCACAACATAATTTGCTACATGTAATAATGCAATAATTTTTTATAGTGCTTCAATAAAGTATATATCGACACTATTCTATCTACACATAATGTGCACTCAGTCGATTTCGAAGGAATCATTATTATGAATCCCTGAAGATCAGAAGTAACATAACTTAAAAATAGGTAATATTATGTAATGTTATGTAATATACTCAATATTAGGTAATATCATGTTTGCATTGTTAGATTATGTAATATCATATAATATGTAAACACTATTATATTTGTATTGTTCATATAAAAAACTACATTATGTAATAAATATGTATATATTTACAGTATAATAAAAAATAATAAACGGCTACGAGATAGCCCTAGACACACCAACTACTTTATTACTGTTACCTTGATTGAGAAGTTATGAAGTATAAATGCTTTTGTTCACATTTTTGTTTTTTAGTGCCATTGTTTTTGCTCCTTTCTACCAATTCTTGAGAATGAAATATAATGTCTTTCCGAACCTTGTTGGAACAAAATAGCAAATACAACATGTTTTTAGACCTCTCAATATTATAGTTATACAAAGGAACTTTTGGTTGATCTTATTCAAAAAAATTAAATCAAAATCCCCCCAAAATAGATAAAAATCAAGATAAACCTTTTATTTCATTAACAAGATACTTTTTTAAAATCAACCCAAATTTCCTTTGTACAATTACAATATTGAAAGACCTTAACATGCTGTGTTCATGTTTTCTAAAACAATATAGATGAAAGTATATTAATATATTTCTCAAATTATATTGTTACCATTCAAAAGATGACCATTAAATTGACGATGTGTTAAATTTTTAGATTTTTTTTATGACTGGTTTAAGAGAAACGTGTGTTCAAAAAGTTCAAAACACTCCTTTAACAAATATTGAGTTCTTTTCTTCCCTTTTCAGACCAATCAGTCCTTGAGGGCTGGATGGCCCCCTCAGCTTTATACTGACACATATTTTGGACAGATTCATTATATATGTCTTATGTTTTGAATGTATTAACAAGTAATAAAATTTCATTGAAACGGGTTGGGAAACTTCACTCAAGCAACATCAAATAGCTAGCAACATCAATCAATCAATCAATCTTTAGTGTGACGTTTTTGAGAAAAATGTACACATATCGAAATCCTTTGGTCCTCCACATTTGCCTCTTTATCTCAAAATATTTAGACGAATAACTCTGATATCGTATACATATTAACAATGGGTTAAGAGCATCATAAAACACGAATCAATTGATATTTTAAGTGAAATAAATAGATGTGCTGCTATGTTTGAGAAAGGTGAATGGCCTAAATTCGCCCTATTTTAATGAATTTTGAAAACCTTTCGTCCTCCACTTTTCCACATACAACAGAAAACACATACGTTTGCTAACAATATCAACTATTTATTGATAAACTAGAGTTTGTGAGCAAAATAATCATGTATGATTTATTTAAAATCGGTGTCGTACTTTTTGTTTAATGTACACCTAAAGAGTTGAAGGTAACAAAAAATGAGCAAAAAAGGTCACTGTCGACAGATTCTATTTTTTCAAACTAAAAGACCTCACAATATGGGACGCTTACTAGATTTCATTCTTTGAAATAACACTTCCATTTATCAAGACGAAAATAAAGTATAATAGTCGAATATTGTTTGAGTTATGAGCGTTTAAAGACGAAAAATTATTCAAAATGTAACGTGGCGACAGCGGATATTTACCAGATTTTTGGGTAAAAGAATCTTTTTTAAAAAAGGAATGCGCAAGAATTGTGAAAGGAGTGTAAGCTTACTTGATTTGAAAACTTCATTGAAGCAGCTTTAAACGATATATAACTTTAATTAGAATATTCACTTATATTCCGAAGAATTAAAGTTACATTCATGCGATACCCTAAAAACACAAGTGCGCCACCTTTTTGCGACGTGTCAGTACATAAATGGAACAGGACTCAACACCGTGGAATAATTATAAATAGATTATAAATATGAACATTTTTCATTTTTCTGTCTTACTCAAGAATAAGTTCGCACTACATCACGTAATGAGTATCACCCCATCAAATATTACATTTTCAACGCAGTGCGTTATTTTTCATCGTAATTTAAAATATTCAACAACATTTATTCAGCAGAATTTATTTGCGGTTATAGTATTATTCCTTATTTCCAATTCCGGGTGCGATTCTTAAGTCAGGTGTTGCGTTTATTTGATTTAAATCTACATTTAGGTTGATGGAGACCCAGTAGAAGACAGACCCTACGTTCAGAATGGTTGGTTTTCGGCTGATTTTTCAGGAAACCGTTTTACGTTTGAGAGTAAACCATTTAGTCTAATTGTACGGTTCAATGTCTATCCATATAGCAGTCGTCCGCATAACCCCGGATACGGTAACGTTTGGATTGAATTGGGAAGTCAATGGATGGGAAAGGTTTGTATATATTATTGCAACGGACAAGATGATTTTTCGAAAGTCCATTAATTGAGATTACCCTATTTGAGGTTCTGGATATAGGGATTATCTCGAAGCCAACTCCCTTACATAACTTTCCATAAGGAACGAAATGATATATAACATAATAGGGTAACAATGCTACATGTATGAGTTTAGAGGGGGATGCACACATATGAAACGCCCTGTATATTGGCCAAGCGATAATCATAATATTGCGAACACACTATGTTGTTCTGTTTATCCTATATACCCTGCACGCAGAGTCTAGTTTAAAACTACATACATCCTTTGTCTAGTACAATAGACTACATTACAGATAGCAGCCCCGCCCCGACGACCGGTACCTGTGACAGCCCAGGTCATAAATAATTTAAACATATTTTAAAATGATGTTTTTAGCCGGTCATATCTTTCACAATGAGTACTTTTATTAAAACAATATGTGTTATCTTTCAAGTGAAGTCCCCGTGATGGTAAAATATCAATCCAACTCTCTGAAAAATTATGCCATAGGACCCTACCTTGCATGCTATCCATTGTTATCAGCATAATTTTGGTCATCGACAATTGATATCTTCAAAACTAGACTTTCAATACCATTTTACTTTTGATGTTTTAGACCCCTTGTTGAATAATATTTTCATGCAATAAAAATCAGAAAAAGAAAAAGAAGAGTAAATTTTGAGTACATAGGTTCAACATTTTGAAAAAATTTTATGACATTGGGTGACTGGGGTCCCTATTCATAATTTTTCGAATTGTTCTGAAATTAACACTATTGACTATATTAACACATTTTCCTGTGCTTTGCTAAATGTGGATAGTTATATATATAATTATAGCTATCATAGGATAGAAATGGTCTGGCCAGGATTGTTATGTCCCTTTAAGGAAAAAAAGAAAATATAATTCTCTAAAAAATGTAAAATTTTAATTGTTGTAAACCCAATTTTTTGAAAAAATTGAAATTTTCGGGAAAAGGATATTTTTGAAAAAATGTAATGATGATATCAATATTATTCCTAATATCACCCCTCTAATCGTGATATCAAACCTGATATCACCCCTGTCCCAAATACTATTGTACACCTGATATTGCTCTGACCATAAAATGGCGCAATGTCACAACGTTAAGAGACCGAAATCTAGTTCTCAACCGTTCTTTCCAGTCGTACGAAAAGGTCGTAAAACGGGCTAAATCTGGTCGGGAAATATGTCTAAAATAATTAGCTTCTTTGTTCATAAACAGTCTTTAATACATCCATCTCATTCGCAGTTCGTTCAGGTCGCACCATGTCGGTGTGCACACATATTGCAATTGATATCCGATTACACAACGATATAACGCGTCCCTAGTAGGGTTAAAGTACTGCAATTACGTTCCTGGTCTAGTAGGTCATCTCGTTTGAAGTACTTTGTCACACGACCTGAATTCAGAACGGTATGGTGGCCATCGAATCCTTCCCGTCTGAGAACGTTCATGAAGTTCGTAAATAGACCTTAGAAAGTTGCAGCTACGTTCATTCCTTTAACGTTCGCACACATTTTAAAACCAGTTTTGAAGAACGCAGATGCAACTTTTTTGGTGTGATAGCTATATTGATTCTTAAGTAGTCTTTAATAATGTACGTTCCTAATCAGGTTAATACGTTTGCAATTAGTTCTACCTCGTTCTCAACACGTCCTCAGACAGTTCAAGTCGTTGTAAAAAACGTTCCAAGTAGGATTGAAGTACGACGGTTCCGTTCATAGTACGTCTACTCCGTTCGTTCACAGTTGAAGCCCGTTTTCAAGAACGTAGTGGGAACTAGTTTGGTGTGATAGTAGGGTTAGATAAATCGAGATTATAATATGATGACAAACTCAAAACATTTTGAGGTATTAATATCCACATAATTATCAGTTAACCATGCTGCACAATAAAACTACGATTATATTTTATTGTGTTTTCATTTATTATATTACTATATTTATTATTCTGTTTCATTAGCTTTTAATCTTCTGTGTTAATATTTTCTTTGTTGCTAAGGTGGATGGACTTTGCAAAAACTATGATAATGATACGAAAAACGACTGGACTGATAAAGAAGGGACTGACTTGACTGGGAACCCAGACAGAGGAACTTTACTCGGTACTAGTTACAAAGTCGACAATCAAGAAGATCGAGTGTAAGTGTTACGCGGTAAACACGATACAAATATATGACATATTCCGCAACGAATATAGCATATTCACTTGCGGTGTATGACAGATTCACCTGCGGTATATGGCATACTTACTAACCAATGAGAACGTGATACGGAAGTACGCAATTGCCAATTGCATCGATTGAACGAATGGGCAAACGTTTATAAATTACTGAAATGATTACTGAATCAACAACACAGAGCATTAAATATATCAAATAATGCAGAAATATCACTCAGCAATCTCACCTAATAAACTTGCTCAATAAATCCAAGATTCATATATTAGTACTCGAAGCACTAACTATATTGGTAATCCAGCGTAGTTTTACATTTAGAGTTGATTCTCGTATCCAATCAAATCAAAGCTTTCTGTATCACGTTTTCACCTGCGGTATATGTCATATTCACCTGCGGTATATGGCATATTCCGCAAGTGGGTATGGCATATTCCACAGGTGAGTATCGGATATTCACTGAAATCAATGTATCGCATATTCACTGCGGAATATGCCATACTCACCTGCGGAATATGCCATATACCGCAGGTGAGTATGGCATATTCACCCGTATCACAAATACCGCGCAACCATTAATATATGCCATATGTTACGCGGTAAACACGATACAAAAATATGTCATATTCCGCAACGAATATGGCATATTCACTTGCGGTGTATGACAGATTCACCTGCGGTATATGGCATACACACTAACCAATGAGAACGTGATACGGAAGTACGCAATTGTCAATTGCATCGATCGAATGAACAAGTAAAACGTTATAAATTATTATAGTGATAACTGAATCAACAGTACTGTGTATCGAATATATTAATTTAGCAGAAGTATCAGTCACCAATCTCGCGTAATAAACTTACTCAATCAATCCAGGATTCATATATTAGTACTCGACGCACTAACTATATTGGTAATCCAGCGTAATTTTACATTTAGAGTCGATTCTCGCAACCAATCAAATCAAGGCTTTCTGTATCACGTTTTCACCTGCGGTATATGTCATATTCACCTGCGGTATATGGCATATTCCGCAAGTGAGTATGACATATTCCGCAAGTGAGTATCGGGTATTCACTGAAATCAATGTATCGCATATTCACTGCGGAATATGGCATACTCGCCTGCGGAATATGCCATATACCGCAGGTGAGTATGGCATATTCACCCGTATCACAAATACCGCGCAACCATGGATGTATGCCATATACCGCGTAACACCATATTCCGCGTAACAGTAAGTGCGTAGTGCAGTGGGCAATGTTGTAACCGATATAGTGTACACATCATTTGAAAAATGTTATCCTATTTTCTTTACTTTGTTGCTATTTTTACTGTTATTGAAAATGTTATGTTGGATGTACATTTGGCCCTAAAGGGCCATCAGTACGAATAAAATCCTATTATATTACATCCATTATTGTTGTATTGCACCCAATTTGCTTCATCCTATTTGAAATATTCCTAAATACACACTCCATAGCATTACCAATTCACTTTTCAGTTGTGGCAACATGATTAGGGATAGAATTGCAGCTGGTCCACGTGGTCGAAAAATTAAACGTCCCTTTCTCCCTCCTCCACCTATTCCAGAGGCTTTGAAGTTCTGCAGCAGTATTATCAGTCAAAACGGATTCTTCAAACAAATTGTAAATAATCACGAAAGGTAAAACAGCCAAACAAACCTCTTCAATTCTCTTCACTGGTACTTACCTAGATACGTCAGCGTAACAAGATAGAAGAACATCCGGGCTTCGTTTTCGGTAAGATATTTTTATTTCTCGATTCTACATAACTTATGAGTCAAGTGGTGGACAATAATTTGGCTCAAAGTTAAGGAAGATAGTCTAGTTTGAAAATATGCAGGCGGTTCTATGTTTGGAATATTAATGAAGACGCAATTCAGATGATGTTGATGAAGATCGTCAACGTAACAAAAGCGAGGGACTAAATATGTAAATTGCGTCTTCGTTAATATACCAAACATACAACCGCCTGCATATTCTCAAACTATACTATCTAAGCCATATTATTGTCCACAACTTGACTTATAAGTGGTGTAGAATCGAGAAATAAAAATATGTTACCGAAAACGAAGCCCGGAAGTTCTTCCATCGTGTTACGCTGACGTTTCGTCAGCGTGACTAGGTGAGTACCAGCGCTCACAAAATATTTTTTCTTCTTTTTACAACCTTTATTTTACTATTTCTCCAAACTCCGTAACTTACGGATCCGTAAGTCCATTGCTCTTTCTAAAACTTACGGAGAGATTGCATTTCTCGAAAAATCGTAGATTTACGGGATTTTGTTGGATTCCTGTAAGTTAACGATATTTATGACGTCATAGCCTTCTTTTTCCGTAACTTTATAGGCACCTCAGACCCTGTCCATAACTATTTACGGAGGAATTTCCATTCTATTGCATAGTGATTACTATGGTAACTTGCATCAGTAACACGTTCCTGCTATACCAAAATGGCAGCTCTAAGGAGGTATATAGAAATGAAAACCGATTAAGAAGGGTGAGAAGAGTTCGCGAATTGCTATGATATCCGTGGGTAATTGAGAGCCGCCTCCGAAAACGGATGTGGAAGGGTCAACCCTTCAACTTGAGGCAGGGAAGTCGGATGATGGTAGTAAAATCCCTTCGAGCTGCACCAAATTAAAATATAACTTTTACAGGTCGCAGGGATTTTACTACTAATTTTGATAACGTCAACTTTAAAGTCCCAATTACAGTGTTTCGGGGTCTCGGAACGCATTGAATTTAATTTTAATGACAAATGACAAAATATATTCCCAGCCATTGACGGCATTACGGTAACGTATATATTTGTGAATATGAAATAGCTGGATACACAATCAGCACTTTATTTTCTTTCTTTCATTATTCTTTAATCATACCAGAATAAAATCCAAACTTCAAGATGTTTGAAATTAAGTCAAAAATTGGACTTGCATGTATTAAAATTCATTTAACGTCAAAATTGGACGACAGAATATGTTCAAAGACTAGCAATCAATATAACGCCCTTCTTTATCAGTCCAGTCGTTTTTCTGACTTGAAAAAGGTTTAATTCCACACACCACTGGAAAACTAACGTATCTTCCGTGTATTAGATGATCTAGAAATCCCATAATATACAACGCAAAGAAGAGATTTTAACTAACTGCTGGATGTTGCAACTACATTTTGATTTTTTATGAAAATATTTAAATAAAATTTCTTTACATTGCTATTAAGTAAATCATTATTGCAAGTGTCAAATCGAAGTACATAAAAGTCACAAAACCCAAAAAATTGTAGATATCTTATTCACAGATCCGACCAAACTCCATACACAATTTTGGATGTAGAGCTGATTCAAATCCGGGGACTTGAAAAGTTCACAATAAGTTTAACGTCCTGCTGAGAGGCCAAATTTTTGGGGTAATCGAAGTCAAAAAATTAAAAACAGAACCTTCATTTATTGTTTTCTATTTAGAAGATGTAATTCAAATGTTGAAAAAATATAACACAAACAATAAACTAAATGCGAGAAGAAATAATCTTGATTTGTCATTAGATATTCAAAATTCAGTCAAAGTGATGTCATACTTGAAATCTACGTGTAAAAGTACTTCTAGAAATATGGTTTCGAAAACTGTTTATCAACTTTTAAAATTAAATTTGTTTTGAAAATTTGACTTCTAGTTCGGGTTTATTCCCCATAGACCCCATGTTACAAAATCACAAAAAGTGAAATATTTTCTCTTGTATTGGACAGATAACATTTTCCTTTACTGGACATATTTTAATTTTCATAACTATTAGAAACATAAGGGTAATATGAAAATTGAACCACTAAAACAGATGTAATTTAAAGAGAGAATCAGATATAGCGAGCAGGCTAAACAAATAATTGTTTCAATTTTAGAATATTTTTGGCTCATGTCATTCCTTGTCATGTCTATTTTCTAAAAATCACAAAAATGCATACTTCATTCCAGGAAAACTAAAGATTTTTACAATAATGTATTATTTTTCTATAAGAATGGTTACCATTCTTATTATTTGGGAGAATTTAAACATTTTTCACTCATTTTTGCACTTTGAATCATTAATAACTTCACCAATTTATAACATATTGTGAATCTTTTGGGAGATATTGTATTTGATATTGTAAGGAGTAGATTGGTAGGTCAGTTATCCATGTTGCTTGTAATTTTGTCATCCCCTATAGATCAGATCAGATTCTGCCTTTAAGTTAAAGGAAACTTTCTACTATAGACCCGAACGAGCCACCTGGTGGTGAAATTGGTAACTTCCTACTCGCATCTATGTTATCAAATACCTGCTGATAAAAGATTTAAGGTTCACATTAACTGTTTGAAGTTGAAATAATTGTAGTAACTATCAATCTTGGAACTTCTTTTTAAAAAATTATGTATTTTATTTGGAATCATTGCAATTATATTTTGAGCATTTTACAATGCACAATGACATCACATCTCCGTAACTTTGCGGACTAAAATACGATTACGATACGAAGTTTGGAGAAATGCAATTTGAAACTCCGCATCTTTGTCGTAACTTTTTAAATTTTACGGAAATCGTAACTCTACGGGTCCGTAACTTTACGGAGTTTGGAGAAATAGACCTGTCTGGATCCTTTTTCAACTGTATAAAAAAACTGAACTGAAGCGCTACAAAACAATTAAATAAAAACAATATTACGTCATATTAATTCACCAAAAATCCATTCCAAATTACCGCCAATTTATAGTTCCCTTGATCCCTGTTCATATTATTATCGTTTTTCTTTATAAAAATAGATTCTTTAATCCATCTTTCAAGTCTCTTATTGTCATTATGTGTAACATATCTTAAAATGTATTTTTGAGCACACTTCTAATAGCTACACAAAATGGTATTTGTTGATTAATTATTTCATATTTCCACTTTTTTATTCACTTTGACGTGACCATAACCTGCCCCACCCTACCCAAACTCACCAACATGATTTTATTATAACATCAATATAGTTTTATCAGTCAACATGAAAATTTGTAGAATAATCAAAATGTCTGTAAGGAACATTTCCTGAAAATTTCATGGAAAAATATCAAGTATCGATAAAGTTAGAGCATATAGTGCATTACTTCTGGGACGTATTTTTCGTTCACGGTTACGTTGTTAAAAACATTGCAAGCTTAAAGTCTCAAATAAATGACATACTCTGTATTGTCTCACATATCTTTTGTACCTTTTGTTGAACAATTATACCTGAAAGTATTTTTAACGGTTCTATGCTACATCCTCATTGACGTATGTAGTCGCACCATTCTGATACTCATAGCATCTTTCTGTTTTTGTGTCTATCAAAATCCAAATATGTTATTAAATAATGAAATATAATAGTGTAATCTTTAGGTTTACAAAGTTTACAAATATACAAAAATTCACGATCAAAATAAAATTAGCAGTACGTTTATCCTCATCTGATACCTGTATATACAAAGTTAGGACCACTCCATATAGTTGTCCACAGTCTCAAGCAAAGCTGCTCAATTTAAAACCAAGAAAACAAACTAACTGTTCAATTACATGGTGTCCGGAAAGTAAAGATACAAATACTCTAATTTTAAGAGATTTAGTTCCTCTACAGATTGTAGAGGAACTACATTACAATACATCTTCCAGCTTTTATAACATATAGTCTAAATGTGTTAAAGTTACGGTTCTCGTGGTTACGGTGATGAGGGGTATGCGGAGCAGTTCCAGGATATCGCTAAATTGTGATAAAGTGCTAGAATATAACCATTTGAAATAGTGTTTATTATTGTATTTCTTATCAGTTTTTTGTTTTGTTCAATATTATATTCTTGCTGCCATAGTATTCTCTTTAGTATAACGGTATCACTTATAAATATCAGAACTATGTAATATCACATTGTATAATCAAATAAAAAGAGTATATAAGTGCTTAGAAAAAGGTTCAATAGTGCACCTCCACACCACAGTCAATGCTCCAATTCACAAAGCAAAGAAAACAAATCTTACAATTGAATGTCTTGACATTAACCTTTTTGTACAATGGCCCATTTTTCCCTGATAATGTCCCGTTGGACTTCTACATTAATGAATAATGCTAAAGAAATTTGTGAGAAGTTCAACATAAAATGAGACTCGGCTGGAAGCCAATGTTATCAGCAATCTTAGGGACTGATAGCAAAGGTTTTGTCAAGTCTTGAATCTCCGGTCAAAATGCACCAAGAATGTTTAGATAAAGGTGGAAAATACATTATACAGGGGGTCGTTTCCAAAAATGTCGTTGACTTACGATATCGTAACTCCACGACAGTCGTAGGAATGGGGAAAGTTACGACAAACTTACGACTGTCGTAGACTTACGACAGATCCGTTTCCATAAAAATCGTAAGTCTGTCGTACAAATTCGCAACTCACGACAAGTTCCACGATAAGTGATGCGAACGTCACGTGACATTCTTATTTAAAATTTTAGTTGTATAATATGGTGTTCTAGTCCTGTAGTGTTGTATTTATTGAAAGTTATTGATTTGTTTAAAAATGAAATCACAGGCCCGGTGTCAAGAAATTATGGTCCCCCAGGGATTATGGTCCCCCTTTTTAAGGCCCTTACTGGCCCTGATTGTGTATAAGATAATAAGGGAAAGAGCACAAAGAGGTCACCATATAAATCAATGGAGAGTAGGACCATAAATTAATAGGACCTCCTACCCTTTTACACCGGGATGGCATCCTGACACTGGCATCAGTTTTTGTCTCAAAAAAGGTTGTCTCTGGGTCAGGTATATTGATTTGTTTCATTGTTAACTGTATCCAAATTCCGTTCTGTCCAAAGTTTTAGTTTGGAAGGATTAACGTTAACGATGTCTTTTAGTGAAAGCGATACGGCTACTATTGAAAATTGTTTCGACAAGGTGAAAGGATGGAGTGGAAGATGAATCCCAGAATCGTAAAGGAATTAAGGGTAAGAGTTGGAGTTATGTCACTGTAAATAGACTACATCCAACATGCATTAAAGGACGGCATAAGTATGTCATGGGAAACGATATCATTGGGAGAAACACACAAAAGCATTTTTGATTGGAAAAATTTCTTCTTTCAGACTCCGTTGATATTGGATATTTTTGCATCCTGTTTCTAATTTGACAACACTCCTCATATTTATAGCGCTAGCTAATGATACCACCCCATGCAGACAGATCGCCTAAAACTACATTCGTATGATGCGAGACTCGACTTTCACCGGGAAATTAGAAACATTTTGCCACCCTTAAAGAAACTTATTTTTACTGCTTAATAAATGAGCATTTGTAGATTTCGAGGTTATAAAGTAATACTAGTATCATACTGATGTTCGATCAAAAGTTCGAATTACAGTAATGTTGTGTTTCAAATATTAATTGTCATGTTTTTTCTGTTTCGGAAAATTCGGTATGTGATGTATGTTTTTTAGTTCTTCAAAGAAATCTACAAATGTATCGTTGCGGTTTTATCTTTACATCGTTTTTTCAATCACCGCCATCACTTTTCAAACGGCGTTACCTTGAAATATCAAGACATCATGCTATTCTCATACTTATAAAACGCAATTTGGCTGTCATTCATCATTTATTAAGCAGTAAAAATTAATTTGCTCCTTGGGTGACAAATTATTTCAAGTTTCCTGGTGAATGTCGAGTCTCATATCATACGAATGTAACTTTAGTCGATTTGTCTGCATGGGGTGGATACCCTATACTTCCTCGGTAATTTTTTTTAAAGCATTTAACTTGTCTATTGCTGAGAAAATACTTGTCAAAAGTGTCTCACTTTTTTGGGACACCGGGAGTGCGTTCACTGACGTCCGCACATAACCGATTAACTTATGTCAACGTTTGAACACCCTGACAACGGTAAAGTTAGATACCTGTATTACAAATGGCAGCAGGTTCGTATTCGATTCAATTTTCATCATGGGTCTGTTGAAAGGGAAAGCCCATGATATCCTTAAACTAGATTTAGGCTTAATTCCTTTGGTGCAACAATCAATCAAAGTCTTTTCCTACTTATCGTTTATTATGCTCTACCATCGAAATGAATCCTTAATTTTACCGATCAAAATATGACACAGGACAACGGATACTGTAAATGACAACGGTAAATGTGGGTCAAATGTGCTTTAAAATCGGGATGGGAACGGTAACATTTAATGATTGTAATGTAACGCTAGAAGCATTGGCTCTTTATGGTATGACTCCATTAAACATATAAAATACATTTATAAACTATGGCTGTAATAGCTATGATTATGGTCCCCCAGGGGTTATGGTCTCCCCTTCTAAAGGCCCTTCAGGAAAGAGGTCACCATATAAATCAATGGAGAGGAGGACCATAAATTGATAGGACAATCCTACCCTTTTACACCTGTTCCAAACTGCAAATGGAGTACTCTAGTTTCGGTCTTTAGTACGAACGAAAAAATTCAAAAAGGCCTTAGTCAAGCTTTAATTTTTTATCTTTTCCCATAGTGACATACATGATAGGGTTGTAATAATAATATACAGGGTGGGCCAAAAAAAATTGCAACCTTTTTAGAAGGCAAAAAAAAGTATCACAACATTATGGTATTGACATGAAATTTTTTACAGAAACTTAAGGATAGGCATATTTTACCATTTAAATACTTTAGCTAATACTGACTTCAAGTTTTTTGTCAGATGTTTGAATATTAATTGTAAATTGTTCACTTGTCCGTCCGGGATATACCATTTTTCCTTGAAAATCATTGCGTAAGTCAATTGCGGAAAGTTAAACGTAATTCTCCAATTTCCGCATATGTTTATTAATACGACAGAGAGATGTTTTATGTCCAGCGTACAATTGAGTTACGTGGACGTAAATGGAAATATTTACGTTGGCTTTATGAATAAGGCTTCTGTACTGCCCGGCTGTAAAGAATATCTGGGAGCCCCGCTCCCGTTTCTTCTTCCTGTTTCTCCCGTTTGTGTTTCAGGGCACTACTAACACCCACGTCACATTTCTTACGGCCGCCGTGCGGTCTATCATTTCTGCGTTCAGTAGCTTTTCTATGCTCGCCGTAGAATTACTGCGCTCTCATACTTTTGCAGTCACATTTCCCACGGCAGCCGCACGGCAATTTATAAAAGTTATTCATAGTGCTAGGATGTAATATCAAATGAAAAGTGTTCGTGAAACATTGACAAATAATGATTTAATCTTGTTGAGCCAGTTGATTTCTACAGGCACCGCAGAAATGAACAAATATTATAACTCCGAGTTATAATTTCTACGGCGACTCTGCGGCCTGTAAAAAACTGGATACGCCGTACGGAGACCGCAAGGCGAGCGTAGTTTTCCTACGCTCGCCGTAGAAATACACTGATTTAATTGATCTGCGGTCGACGTACGGCCGCCGTAAGACAAATGTGACTGGGGTGTAGAGAATCATAATTTTTTCATTGTTGTTATTTGCACTCACCTCATCATACGTCTAGTTCCCATTGTCATTTCTCAATTTCAATTCAATTCTAATTGACGATATGGAAGGCGGTATAGTGGCTATAGTGGGAGATGAGGTCTTTAACTTTAACGGATTTCAATACACATCCCCTTTTCAGGAATCGTTAATACAGTGTAGAAGAATATTTTGATATGTTTAAATCGAGAAAAACAAGATCCTCTTTTTAGAAAATGAGCCTAACATTTTTAAAAAGTGCGAAGGTGGGGGTCCTAATTTTTCAGAGAGTTTGAATGATATTTTACTATCATGGGGACTTCACTTGAAAGAAAACATATTGTTTTAATAAAAACCACTGTATTGATGGCCAGAAAGTGCCCATGGTGAAAAATATGACCGTCTAAAATCACTTGCCATACGACAAATGGACCTTTGGATTTTCATATAATATACCATCACAAGTTCACAGAATTAGCGACAATAAGGTCCCGTGAAATGAAAAAGTGATTAAAGAGTAGATGTGATGGTTAAGTCCGTCATCTGTGACAACGGTAGCTGACTTTACCGTTGTCAGGGTGTTCCGGTGTAGGTAGCAAGACAGTTTACCGGAGACCATGGGCTTTCAACTAGCCCATGCGGAGACAAATATACATGATTTCAGAATAAAGTGAATGTAGATAGTTTGTCGATATGCAACTCAAGAAAGGAAATAATGCAATAAATAATTGATGGTGAACTGACTTTTAGTAAAACAATAATATTTCTCACCTTGCTTCATTCGTTAAAAAGACAAGCCAAAGAGGCGAGAAACGTTAATGTTTTAAATTATAATTATTCAATACACCATGAAGAGAAAACATGTTTATTTTTGATTTACACAATTTTAAAATTGTTATGCCTCTTTAAATTAACCCAACTCAATCAACCTTCATGAGAAATAATATGAAGAGAAAACCACGTGAACGATGATGCGCTAACGAACTTCAGTTTCTCTATTTTTCAATGCATAGAAATGGCCATTTACCTTATGTTTTGGAGGGCATGAAACCGCAGTTTCTTCAGCTTTCTGTCAAGTGCTCGCGTTGCATAAGCCAACGTAAATTGTGACATAATCTATGAGATAATTAAAACCCCACAAATAACTCAAATATTGCTCTACGACAACCTTGCGACACCCCCTTGGGGTGTCGTGGGTTTCACACGATAGCTATTGTCTTTCTACGACAGGTGTACGACATGGTAGTTTGTCGTAGGTTTACGACAAATTTCTGGAAACGGAAATTTTTTACTTGTCGTGAAAACACAATTGAAGTTACGATATCGTAAGTCTACGACATTTTTGGAAACGACCCCCTGGATAACAGTAGTAATGTCAAATGATTAAATAATCTTACAGCACTAATCCTTTTGCTGTTGTGGTACATAATATGATGCATATTAGCAACAGACGACAAAGTGTCAAGATGATATGAACAGGAGAAAAGAATTATAAAACATAATTGTGACGCTGCTCCACATACCCGCGACTCCTGTTTCTATAACAGCCATAACATTTTAATTTTGAAACAATTTTTCATGACAGTTGCAGGATAACTTGTTACAATGTCATTCTACAATCTGTAGCAATTTCATCTCACAACTACTGTACCTTTACTTTCCGGACACCCTGTAAAAAGAAAAAGTAGTTGAGTTTATCAATACGCTGTAAGGTACATTCAGATAAACCATTTGTGTCATATTGTGAAATTATTAAGTTTGCAATCGATTCAAGTCATAGTGTATTTTTGGTATTTTTGTGATAATCAATGAAAACCAGTGACCTTTTTTGAGATCTGATGATATCCCCGTGTTAAGTTAATGGTGCACATCCCCATGTAAGTCAATGCAGCCTTGCTGAATTAAAGTATGACCCATATCTTAGCCAATGTGTACCCAATCACTTTAATATTATTTTCCAAAGAATTATACATGGATAACATCCTATTCACTTTGTTACTCCTAAGAATGATGATTTATTTTGACCATGGGGGTATTTGCTATCACACCTCTTCCTTTACAATATATAATAGCACTAAGTAATAAATTAATAATAGTGGTTGAATATCGATGGCGATGTCCAAATCAGTAATGTATGAATCACCGGAATACAGATGAAGTGGGGGTAAACAATGGCCAAATTAACATTTATGCTTACAACGATTCGTAATTATGATAACTTTCTAGGAGTGATTTTGATACATGGGAGTCAGACTGTAAGATGGACTATAGTGCAGAACCAAAGGCAAAGTGTGATATTCTCGAAACGTTTGTCGTCACATTCAGGAACAATGCTCGGGACATCATGGGTTGGAGGGAGAACTTCAACTGCGGTAAGTGCATAGCTTGCTCTAAACCAGTTTAATCGGTAAGAAGAATCAGAATTATTAACCTTCATATTTCTGGAATTGGAAGAATTATTCTGAGCTTGCACAGATTCATATAATAGCGTGCTCATAGACTATTTTTTAGAATGAGCTAAGTATGAGGGGTTTTGCTAAATACTTCCATCCTACGTACTATTCTAGTTGAAACAATGTAGTTGATTATACAGTGCGTATGAAAAAAAACCGCAACAGATTGTTATCTTGGAAAAGCACAAAACCATTGATAACAGCATTGATTTCATTCAATGCACCATAAAGCCATGTGTCTCCTCTTTACAATGATATATCATTCATTTGATATTTAGTCATGGTTGGGCGAGTAATCATTCCATTTGCAAAGTGGGCCAAATTAGTTTCGGGCCAAGTTATAAACATTGCAAAAGTCGGTGTACGGAGCCCGATGCAATATTGGACGAAAACATAAAACCAATGCTGACTGCATCCTTTTAATTCAATGTACCAAAAAGCCAAATTACTCCTCTTGGCAATGGAATATCATTTATTCACAGGGAGTCATCTATGGTGGAATAATCATTAATTTTGCAAAGTGGGGCAAAATTCAGCTCGGACCCAAGTTTAAAACATTGCAAAAGTCAGTACAAGGGGCATAGGGGCTATTGGAAGGTGTGATAGGTATGGCATAGACAGAAAAGTGTTCATACTCATACTCTTGCAAGAATACATCCCATACCCCTCCAAATTGCCACCACTTTCTTGCACATAAAGATGCGCTCATCTGTCCACGTCATGCATGGTTCAGCCCTGAATCATGTGTGGGTTAAAGCAAAGAAAAGCAGCCCATGGGCAAATCTTTCTCAAGGTTTTGCAATATCTGGTGGAGGAATTGATTGGACAGATGCTCCTGACCCTACTATCACACCAAACTAGTTCTCACTGCGTTCTCGAAAACGGGCTTCAACTGTATACGAACGGACTGGACCTACTAAGAACCGTTTGGGATCTATTTACAAACTTCATCGAACGTACTCGAACGGGTAGGTCCTCTAGAACTTAGACAATGCTCAAAATGTTCTCGTGGTTGTCACGTTCTACAATTAGAACGAGTGACAACGTACTAACGACGAGCTGGACGTACTACGAACGGAACCGTCGTACTTCAATCCTACTAGGGACGTTTTAACAACGAGTTCAACTGTCTGCGGACGTGTTGAGAACGAGGTAGAACTAATTGCAAACGGGTTTAAACTGATTAAGAACGTATTTAACATTGCTTATGAACGAGTTAGCAAAAATATAGCTATCACACCAAACAAGTTGCCACTGCGTTCTTCAAAACTGGTTTTAAACTGTGTGCGAACGGAATGAACGTAGCTGCAACTTTCTAAGGTCTATTTACGAACTTTATGAACGTTCTCAGACGGGAATGTGATTTTAGAATTTTGAATCGATTCAAAATTCGACGACGACCATACCGTTCTGTAATCAGGTCATGTTGACCTTCTAGACTAAGGGACGCGTTCTACGACGTTGCACTCCGACGTGGTGCGACCTGAACGAACTGCGAACGAGATGGACGTATTGAAGACTGTTTAAGAACGAAGAAGCTAATTATTTCAGACATATTTCCCGACCACAGCCAGATTGAGCCCGTTTGACGACGTTTTCGTAGAACTTGCAAGAACGGGAAAGAACTAGTTTGGTGTGATAGGGGGGTGAGATAGCTCCAAAAGAAAAAGTCACAACAATTCAAGTCAGGGGAACTTCCACTGGCACTTAGCCCCTGCACTGATTTTTTCAATATCTAAAACTTTTCGCAAAGCCGATTTTGACTCACTGTGCAAATGGAAGGATTTCTCACCCAACCATTACCACATGTGAATGAATGACATATCATTGCAAAGAGGAGAGACATGGCTTTATGGTACATTAAATGAAATTGATGTAGTCATCACTACTTTTATGATTTTACGAGATAACTACTTGTTGCGTTTTTTTTATACGCCCTGTACTATGCTATTGCAGAAACTCAGTGTGGAGAAAATGAAGTGTATATGTATGATGGCCCAGGTTGTGAGGAACATTGTGTAGGGAACGAACTGCGTTCATGTGAAGAGCCCGACCAAGAGGGTTGTTTCTGTAAAACAGGCTATGTTAGGTGTCGCGGAAAGTGTATCATAACAGGTACTTGTATTTTTGGCATAAAACATACCTTTTGTTAACATTCATACATTTCCATTCCCCTTTCGACCCAAATTCCCCACAGTTTATGATCATGCCGATTATGTCTTTATTTATCTGCTATTATAACGGTATAAAACTGCATAAAAAACCCAACTCAGCTCTACTGGACTAATTTCGAAAGAAGGTTTGGTATTTTAAGTAATATTCATTAATATTTTGATCGTTCGGATTTGCTACTCCGTGGAGTTGCCTTTTTCTAGTTATTCATGGCATTGATTAACAATAAATTTTTTTTTTATTCATTGCTTACATAAGTTCATAGAGGAATCGTTTTATAATTATATTTTTTATCCCATCAAACGAATTTCGGAGGGATATCGGGAACGCCTCCGTCCGTCCGTCTGACCGCCCGTCTGTCCGTCCGGGCAATAACTGGAATACCGTTGGCCCGATTTTGTTCATATTTTGTACACATATGGCAAATGGGGGGGGGGGAGAGGAGTTCTGCTCGAAAACCGATTTTCAAAATGGCCGCTCATCTAAAAATGGCGGCCATTGTAGTGCCGATTTTACAGTAATTTAGGTACGGCATATAAAACTGTAATAGCAATATGTTTTAAATGTAAAAAAGTTATATAGGACATAGATTAAGCCAGAAATGTAAATACAGAAGAAATACATGGCAGCCATCTTGAAAAATGGCTGCCTTTGCACGTCATTTTACGATTTTTGCTGTAACTTGAAAAGTAGTGGAGCGATTTTGTTCATATTTGGTATGTGAATACTTTAAGCATGGCACAATGTCTATTTACATTTTTGGTAGTAGGCGACCATTTTGAAAAATGGTTGCCATTTTTACGTGTGTTATTTAACATTTTTTTACTGTATGTCAAAAAGTAGTAGATACACGTCGCACGAAACTGGGGACAATTAGCGTAACATTATGGCGTCAAAAACCTTTCTTATGGATGTTATTTTACGATATTTGCTATATATTTTGTTTATAAAAATGCCAGCCATTTCTGTTCGATGGGATTCGCTACGCTTTGGCGTTGCCGTTGTTCTGGTTTACAATTGTTTTATAAATTTGGTTTTCAGATAGAGTGGATTGTACTTGGGGTCCGTGGAGTGATGATGTTATGTGTTCTTCATGTAATACGAAGTGCACTAGGTACTGCTTGAAATATAGGAAAAAGAACCCTGCCAGAAATCATGGGAAAGACTGTGTTGGTCCTAGTTTGACATATGCCATTCGGGATTGCACAACAGAGGAGTGTGTGGAAACCTCTAGTTTGTATTTGTTTATTTTAATTTCATGAATTTTTCATTCATAAAATATTACCATCAAAAACTCATGCTTGCATGGGCCCATTCGACGAGCCAAGATAAATACATGAACGCGATCATAATTTGAAAGATGGTGTATATTTTAAGACATGTGCGACTGATCTATTTGTTCATACTCAGAATCATTTAAACCTAGGACGCAAGGAAGACCATGTTTTTCACTTTTGAAATACAAAATAGAGACGTGCCGATAGACTACAGGATGAGCTAGGCCGTTCGAATCTCTTTAGAATAGTACACATTTATGTGACATTCCTGGTGCACAGTTTACGATTGCTAACTGCCTCAAAAGTTACTTTACAACTGTAGTTTCACCGTACTTGAAGTAACACGGTGGGGGGGGGGGTATCGTGATGCAAAAACCGTGTGTCCAACCCAAACACGGTGTCCAACCCAAACGCTGTAACATGCATGACGGAGCGTTTCATTCACGCGGGAACGCTGCGGAGCGAAATAAAATGGCGGCTAATGAAGATCCCACTATGACCGTAAGTATTGTTTCACTCGTTTCCCTTACATATCATACGTTATGGTGACATATTATATACCATTCGATGAACAATACCCTGAGCAAAGATCTTATTTATTCAACTTCTGGTGGTAAACTGTTATTTGCTTGATCAAAGCTCCGTAGTGTAGAGCGAACGAATCTGAAGTTGACGAATTGACCACAAATTACGAATTAAACTAGTATTTATATGAAAACCTCAATCTTTCTGGAGTAGAGTAGTAGATCACAAACTTGTATATTCTCATTTTCTAAAATCCCAGTCCAAATCCATAGTGTTCTCGAGAAATCGCTTGTTTTCCTCGAAACGCTCCGTCGATTTAGGACACAATTTTAGAAAGGCTCTTACCATTTTGTTTTGATATTATTTTCAGATTATTAGAGAAGAGTTCGGAATTGAATCTATCTCTCAAAAACGTGTTGTACTTGTTGGGTAAATTGAAACGTCCCAACCTGGTGGTGCTAAACGTGCAACTAGCCGACCTAAGCCTACATTAGATGATGCCTAAATGTGTGCTAAAACATAAAACTATTGGCAAAAACAAAAAGTTGATATGTGAATTAATCTTTCTTTTGATGCCAATGGGTATAATAGATCTTTCTTTCTCTTCCTGAAAAGGAAAAGTCAGGCTATATATTTCCTAAACAGATCTAGACTACGCAGTGTTTCCAGTTCACTGTGTCAACCAGGTCGCAGGGTTTCTTGAATATGAGAGTGTCATTATTTTTAAGACTGGATTTTCGGTCATCAAATTTTTTAATCTTTCGAAAATCTATCACCTAAAGAATGGGCATCTTGATGTAACAACACGATTTTTTGTTCATTTTTTCCTAGTCATGGGATCAGTACGTGCATGATGGACATGACCAGAAGTCCTCATCAACTCCGATCGAGCGTTAATTTATTTTCTGATATTTATTCGGATAATTAGACATATCGTAGGTATATTTAGAGAAAAATGCCTAGTTCAACTAAAGAGCTATCTTCATATTTTTATCGTGATTGCCTCTCATTTCTTCTCACTTAAAAAACTACTTTCTCGTAACACTAACGTAGTTTCAATATTTTTTAATGCTAGCTTTGATCTTGCAAAGTAAGGTTTTTCATTGTTTGAAAAGTTTGGTATCTTGCTTTTTTATATTTAATGCTTAGTTTTTGGTTTTTGAAATTGTTTTTCGCTGTTTGATATGTAACAAGGCTAGTTTTAATTTGATTCAAACATCGATGACACGTGTAATTGCTCATAATATCGAAATATCAAAAACTGAAGATTGAACAAAATCTTTGAAAGTTTGAATTGAAAAATGCAAGTATCAAACAAGAAATATAAATTATCATACATAGAATTGAAATGATTCAACAAAAAATTTAAAGTTTAAATTGTCAGGTGAAAATTCAAACGAGAAAAAATGATATCAAAAATGAAAAAATCGAATAAAGACGCTAAAGAAATGCCATATAGACCAGCTTCTGATTGTTTATTGTCCATGAAGATTGAATCGAACACTTTTAGATTCAGTTTAAAATCATTTAATTTCATAGAGAGAAAGAAACGGCAGACCTCGGAGGTGCAGCTGCCAAAGGTTTGTCGTGGAACAGGTGACGTTCATTATTTTACATTTGATGGCCTGAAGTACGACTTCCAAGGTGTCTGTAAATACACACTAGTTGAAGACATCACTTTTCAAGGTTTCAAATTTTTCAAGGTATGTATCGTTTTTATTTGAAGTCTAGGGTCTATATAGACTTTGCCTCTTTCTTTTAACAATAAAAGTATGATTATTCTATTTGCTACGTGCGTATACGTACAGTGATTCTCCTTGTAACATTGATTTGTAGGTATTTGTGAAAAATCGTCGTTGGGGACTATCAGGAACATCTATAACACAATATGTGGAAGTAAACATCGTAGGGCAAACCATAAGACTTGATGGTCCAGGGTTTAAGAGAGTTCAAGTAAGTACGAATCATGAAAACGACCGTCGATAGATACAGTTAAATTTACGGTTGTCACGGTTACGGTAGTGAGGGGTATGCGGAGCAGTTCCAGGATATCACTAACATGGGCGTAGCGCCTGTTACGCACAGAACGCCCGTGCGTACCAATTGTTTTAAGATTTTTCAAAAACTAGGCTTATAAAAGCGTATTTATTTATGATTGTTAGTATTGTGTAAATAGGCAATTCTTCAGATAGCCAGATTATAGTTCGTAATCTTCAATTAATACAATTTGTCCAAGCATATCAATCGATATCGTTATGTTTTTCTGGTCCTTTAAAATTTGTGAAAATGCATCAATTTATCTGCACATTTTCTGATAATTCTGTATTTTTAACGATTTTGTTTTGTCAGAATAGAATTATCTAAAGTTAAAAGAAACACTCAGATTGCATCAAATAACATCTTTGAAAAAATTTCCCGGGGAGCATGCCCCCGGACCCCCCGAGATGCGCGGCCTTCGGCCACGTTGTCAAGCATCAGTTAGTGCGTACCAACTCAAAAAATAGCCCTACGCCCATGACTAATATAAATTGTGATAAATTGCTAAAATATAGCCATTTGAAACAGTGTGCATTATTTTCCTATCAATGTTTTGTTTTGTTCAATATTGTATTCTCGTTGCCATTGTGTTCTCTTTGGTTTAATGATATCATTGATACATATCAGAACTATTCAGAACTATGTAATATCATTAAGTTAATGGTAAAGTATCCACATAATAGAATCATCCGAGAGGATTACTATAAATTCAGACGCAATTATAGAAAACTTATAAAACGTAAAGAACAGAATATGAAGGATAACATATTAAAACAACTGGAAAGTCTTAAATATTCTGATCCCAAATCTTACTGGAAGCTGTTAGACAAATTAAAAGATAATAATGGTAAAGGTAATGACACAGATAATATCTCATCTGATGAATGGTATACATATTTTAAAAGTTTGAGCTTTAAATCAAATGTTGTTGATCATACTTTTGATAAAATTCTAGCAAAAAGAGAAAACATTAATGCTAATGAAACTATCAGTTATCACACGTTTCAGCATGTGATACAGGAAATATTCCACGAAAGGTAATACTGTATCATCCACGAAAGCGAAGCTTGAGTGGTGATACATTGTTACCCGAGTGGAATTTTGAATCATTTTGATTTGGTCAGTTATGATTGTGTTCAGTACTTCTGGTAACTACTATAATTTTTGATTTCGCTTTGAAACAATATGACGTCATACCGTTGTATTCGTACTTGTTTGTAAAATAGTGTGACGTCATATTGTTTTCCTTAGCTAGAAGTGATATAATCAGGGTTAATCAGTGCCTGAATTCATCTTATTTCCCACAAACTTGGAATCATGGATCTATAACACCTATTCATAAGAAAGGATCAAAGGATGACCCAAATAATTACCGAGGTATTTGTATTACTAGTGTTTTAGGCAAATTATTTACTTCTATCTTGAAAAACCGCTTGATAAAAGCAGTAAAGAAAAATGACAAGGGCGAAGAAATACATGAGAATCAAGCTGGATTTATGCCAGGCTATAGAGCAACAGACAATATCTTCATTTTAAATGATATTTTTGATATATCTAAAAAACTCAAAAAAAACCTGTATTTAACATTTATTGATCTGAAAAAAGCATTTGACTCTGTGTGGCACCAAGGACTTCTATACAAACTATTAAATTTTGGTGTCGGTGGAAAATTTTACAATGTCATTAAATCAATATATGTATCCTCATCACACCAAATAAATAACACACTGAACACCAACTGCCCTACTAAATTGAATGAACCAACCAGATCTGATTATAAAGAGAAACCCAATTCCATGGTTCTTGATATAAAACTTTCGCAAGGTCATACAGACTCTTTTCCATGTAATATTGGAGAAAAAAGGGGGTTGCCTGTCTCCCATCCTATTCAATTGTTACATCAATGATATTGTCGATACTCTAAGCTCTGGGATGCATCATGGTATCTCAGTAGCTAAAGATTTTATGATAAACTCACTCTTATATGCTGATGATCTCGTAATTTTTTCAACATCACATGATGAAATGCAGAGAAATCTGATAAAACTTCAAGATTATTGTTCCAAATTGAAACTATCTATCAATGTAGAAAAATCAAAAATCATAACAATTGGTACAGAAATCAAAAAAGAGTTCCTATATAATGGCAAAAAGCTAAAGAGCACAGACTCTTACACATACCTGGGATTGAAATTCTCGAAAGATGGCGTTAAGCTAGCTGGCCAGGAATTGGCCCTAAAAGCTCAAAAAGCTTGGAATAGTCTAAAACACACTCTTTATTCTGCTAATGTCAAATCAGTAAAGCTAATCTTACATCTATTTGATGCATGCATCAAACCTATTCTTACTTATGGTAGCGAAATTTGGGGCACATCTTTTAACATACTTAATAACTTTGACTTCAGGAAAAAACTGAAATAATCAATCTAAAATGTAGCCGATGGATCCTTGGAGTCTCGAGAACATGTAGCAACTTAGCTATTCTAGGTGAACTGGGAAGATTACCTATGTCATACTTTATTCAACTCAGCATGTTAAAATATTGGGCTCATATTCAAACTTTATCAGATGAGAGATTAGTCAAAAAGGTGTTTCTTCACACAAAGTCAAAGAGTAAATGGTACACTCACATTAAACATATCCTTGATAATATTGACTTAGATATTGATACGATACAATTGACTGACCTAAACTCTAAGAATCGTTTCATAAAACTGGTGGAGCAAAAGTTATCATTAAAGATCAAATCACAATGGAAATCAAAATCTTCATCTAGTCAAAATCCACGATTTAATAACAAACTAAGGACTTATGTTAAATTTAAACCAGAACTGACTTTAGAAAAATACTTAACTTCAACACAAAATGTATATAGTAGAGTAAAATTCACAAAGCTTCGTATAAGTGACCATAATCTTGAGGTGGAAAAAGGACGTCGCAAACATGTCAAATTTGAAAATCGTCACTGTACTAAATGCAACAACTCTGACAAACCTATTGAAGATGAATTTCATTTTGTCATGAAATGTAACAAATATTCTGTAACAAGGCACATCTTATTCGAAAAAATATCTAAATCATGTTCAACATTTTATTCCATGACAGATGTACAGCAATTTCTCCACATCATGTCTTATAAAACAAACATGACTGACATAATGAAATTCATATCCAATAACCTGTAAAATATTAAAATGTACACACTGTATCATATATATATTTTTTATGTATTTCCTTATACTTAGTTAGCCTGACGATACCACACTGTACATGTACATGAGGTTGTGTCAATAAATATTATTATTATCATTATTATGTAATATCACTAACCAGTATAATCGAAGAAAAAATTATATAAGTGCTTCGAAATAAGTAAGTCCACAATGCACCAATTCACCAGATAACAAATCTTACAACTGAATGTCTTGTCATTAAACCTTTTTGTACGATGGCCCATATTTCCCTGATATAGTCCCGTTAGTCTTCTACATTAAATGAATATCTTAAAGTAATATTTGTTAGAAGTTAAACATAAAAATGGGACTGCTTGAAGCCAATTTTATCACTAATCTGAGGGATGGACAGCAGCGGTTTTGTCAGGTCTTTGAATCTCCAGTCAAGATGCACCACGAATGTTTAGATAATGGTGGGATATACATAATACTGGATAACAGAAGTAATGTAGTAATGGCAAATGACCAAATAATATTACAGTATTACAATATTACAACCCATGCAAAGTCAGGATCAAGAGCCTTGGGAGCAATAATGGCAAAATCACGAGCCAACGGTGGTTTAAGCTATGAGGTTTACACCCATTTATTTTACTGTCTAGTTGCACCAGTGTTACATTATAGTGCCGGCGTATGGGGAACAAACAAAACAGTAGGCGCAGCCGCAACTATTGTACAGAACAAAGCCCGGCGTTTCTACCTAGGTGTCGGCCAACACGCGTCAAACATAGCTACACAAGGAGATATGTGTTGGGTCTCAGTTGACACTAAGCAAAAAGTGGAAGCAACGAGATTGTGGTGTCGACTCAAAAACATGTCAGAACACAGAATAACAAAGAAAATTCACCTTTGGTCTCTGACGCAGCATAACTCGTGGGAATATAAAATGCAGCGTTTGTTACGAGATAACAACAAACCAAATCTTATCACTGATGGTGAAATCTCCGGTGTAAGATCTATACTACAATCACTTAAAGACCATCGTATTGAGGTCGAAGCCGACGAATGGCATGCCGCACTTTGGAACGACCGTCATAATCCTGAAAACGGTAATAAACTCAGGACTTACCGATTACATAAAACACAAATGGTAACGGCGGAGGGATATGTCAGAATTCCTATGCATAAACATGAACGGAGCAATCTAGCCAAGTTAAGAACAGGCACTCTTCCCATTAACGTTGAACTCGGACGGTATAGCGGTATCCCCCTTAATGAGCGACTGTGTACTTGTTGTAATAGAAATGCTGTCGAAGACGAGATGCACTTTCTTATGTGACTTTTATACTGATTTAAGAACAACACTCTTTGAAAAAGCAAAACAGACTGTACACGATTTTGATTCACTACCAACACTTGTTAAATATTGTGTAATACTAACTACCACTTCTTTACAACGATTACTTGCTAAAACCATTGGACACATGATAAGGAAAAGAAGAGAATTATTTTAGTAATTACAAGTTTTAAGTCTCTCATAAGCCGATGCCGGCTGGGCTGCTGTTTTAATTATTTATTGATTTTATGTGATTGTAAAAAATTCAGCGTGAGACTCTAATAAATAACTAAATAAATAACTAAATAACTAAATAACTAAATAACTAAATAACTAAATAACTAAATAACTAACTAACTAAATAAATAAATAAATAAATAAATAAATAAATAAATAAAATAACTAACTAACTAACTAACTAACTAACTAACTAACTAACTAACTAACTAACTAACTAACTAACTAACTAACTAACTAACTAACTAACTAACTAACTAACTAACTAACTAACTAACTAACTAACTAACTAACTAACTAACTAACTAACTAACTAACTAACTAACTAACTAACTAACTAACTAACTAACTAACTAACTAACTAACTAACTAACTAACTAACTAACTAACTAACTAACTAACTAACTAACTAACTAACTAACTAACTAACTAACTAACTAACTAACTAACTAACTAACTAACTAACTAACTAACTAACTAACTAACTAACTAACTAACTAACTAACTAACTAACTAACTAACTAACTAACTAACTAACTAACTAACTAACTAACTAACTAACTAACTAACTAACTAACTAACTAACTAACTAACTAACTAACTAACTAACTAACTAACTAACTAACTAACTAACTAACTAACTAACTAACTAACTAACTAACTAACTAACTAACTAACTAACTAACTAACTAACTAACTAACTAACTAACTAACTAACTAACTAACTAACTAACTAACTAACTAACTAATCCTTTTGCTTTTGTGGTACATGATTTGATGTATAATAGCAACAGATGATGGGGTATCAAGATGATATGAACAGGAAAAAGAATTATAAAACACAATTGTGACGCTGATCCACATACCAACGACTTCTGTTACCATAACAACCATAACTTTTTCATTTTGAAACATTTTGTCATGACAGTTGCAGGATAAATTGTTACAATGTCTTTCTACATCCTGTAGCAATTTTATCTCACAACAGGTAAATCTATTGAAATAAGAACATTTGTATCTTTACTTTCCGGACACCCTGTAAAAGATATTACCACCATTAAAACTAAACTAGTACTATATATACAAAAGAGGACATTTAAATCTACAATACGTAAAAATATGAAATTTTTGGCGACATTGATAACGTCGAAATATGCAGATGTATTTGTTGGTTCTCCAAACCGAAAATCGTCCTTCTTGCCATATTTTTATTTTGAATTTTTCATTCCTCGACCAATTATTGTGAAAACCCCTATGATAGTATTGAGAGCCTTGAATGATATGGCACAGGCAAAAGCTGTATTTCCGATATTCTTATTTTCAATGTTCCGAATTCTAATTTCGAATTACTGTCAGCGTTGATTTGATTACACCCTACATAGTTACATCTAGGTTGATGGAATCCCAGTGGATCAAAAAAGTCTACCCTATAATGATCCAACCGGCCTTGGATGGTATACTGTCAATGTTGCTGGGAACCTGCTTACTTTCGAGAGTCCTCCAACCGGACTGAAAATAGATTTCATCGTCCATCCTAGTGACACGCCAACGTATTCACCTGGTTATGGCGATGTCTGGGTGACGTTAGGGCGACAGTGGATGCTACAAGCAGTTAGTATTCACAAGTTTACATCATTTCATTATTGAAGTGAAAGGGCTTGTTTTGATCACACGATTTATAAATGTTCAGTGTTATATTTTTATTTCATCTGTCACCCAAGTCACAACGCGTTTTATAGTTTCAGCCTTTGTATACAGTTGTATATAATTATTACGTTATATCGATTCCAGAATTGTGTGTCATGAGCTTATATTATTTGTGTATCAGAAATGAAAATACATATACATGCATCACTATGATTTTTATGATGCAATATAATGTATTATTTCCCTTAGCCCCCTGTTGGTCCTAAGGTGGATGGACTTTGCAAGAATTATGATAATAATACTCAAAATGACTGTACAGATAAAGCCGGGAATGATCTGACAGGGACGCCTGACAAAGGCGTTTTACTTGGTAAAAGTTACAATGTTTACGACAACGAAGATCGAAAGTAAGTTATGATGAATAGTCACAGTATGAAAATTCCAATTTAAAGGGATCCAACACCTTGCAAAACTTTTTAACGGAGAGGAATAAGTGAAAATGCTTGCCGGATTCTGAATCTGTGTATTTTTTAATGATTTTTCACCGTCTTAGAATTTCAATTTTTTTCAAAGGAAAAAATGAGATTTGCATTGTTTTCCAATTAGACAAGTGAGTAAACATAAATAGCCCGAAATCTAACGGTGAGATTTTGTTTTAAAAAATCATGGATATCAAGGCTAAATATAGCTATACAATAAACATAAAAAAGCAATGCTTGGACTCTTCATATTCACACAAAAAATTAATTAGTAAATGAGGTTTGATATTTGTGAGAATAAGTTGTACGGGTCGCAATGCTCTACAAACACCAGACTACAGGGTGGATTATAAAAATTGATTTAAAAACATTTCATGATAATTATCTCAAACAAAAGCAGTTAGCGAAGGATACATTTCATTACACTCAATAAATAGTTATCACTTTTGACTATATATACATATCTCATGGGAATGTATTTCCATCTGCTCAAGATATCATATTTTAGCTTCGAAAATCACAATCGTTGGATAATACATTTGTCTCAGAATGATAGGCCACCCTGTAGCAATGTAGCTTTCACTTGAAGTGTACCCTTGAGAATAATGAACTTACTTTCAAATTGGTCTTGCTTTTGTGGTGTATGTGGCTTTTTAGCAAATCTGCCACGCTCATTTCTTTCCAGAACCATCTTGTTCACATGTAACACTAGGCTATACGCGCATGTATAGACAGATGACATAGATATACATATAAATTATATATTGCACCTGTATTTACTTACATGGGAATATTCCCTTTGGAAAAATGCAAATGCATGAACATATATTTTCATCTTATATATGACTTCAAGCTAACATAGTATTTCATATTTATATTTTCATAGTTAGTCTAACATAAATAATAGATCCATGAGAACAATATTCTTTGTTTTCTTAAAAATTGATGGGTTTACTGTGAATTCAATAAATTACAATTTGCAAGGGGTAAGTATACTGTATGACCTTAGTTGCAAAGTACTGTTTATATATGCAGCTCAATAGCATAAAATATGTTGAATGAAGCATATGGTGGGGATTAGTCGTGTGACACACAAACTGACCAATACATGAGGGTATAAGCTACTTTTCACAGAAACCAAAGGAGGACAGTGCTTTTATTTCAACTGGGAGTTTACCTCCACACGACTGATCATGTGACCATGGTGTTGGGTCCCTTTAAAACCAAGATTTATAATTGTATCTCACTTTTTCAAAATTGAGAATTATTCTGGTTTCATAGATGTCCGAGGAAAATCCTTTCAGTATCGTTCGTATACATTTTCAGTTGTGTAAGCATGATAAGAGATCGAAGTGGACCTAAAATAATAGAGCCTCCTCCAGCTATTGTGAGAGAGGCTTCCGAGTTTTGTCGAAGCATCGTCAGTCAAAACGGATTTTTCAAGCGTATTGTGAGTAACCGCCAAAGGTAAGCTAGTCTTTAGTCTGATATTTAGATTTCTAATGATTCACAAGTACAATCATCACGTCAAGTTTTCTCGACTGATCCTTCTTTAAAGATTCTCGCATTTTGTCACCATTGCTCTTTCTTCCCGCATTCTAGTGCTGTTTGAATGAATATATTTATTAATGTATTTCTTACTAAAATATATCACATTTTTTATAAACCGCTAACATTTAGATCATAAAAAAAATATTCAATACTTGAGTGAGCACGATATGCAAGGGTTACTAAGTTGACACAGTAAATGACCACTGATATTGTGTTAGTTCATGCACACAGCGTATTCTGCTAATACACATTTGCTAACATAACACCCCTCACTTTCATAGTGAAGTGACTAATTGGTTTATGTTTACGTTTTAATGTGTTTTGTGTTCCTTGTTACAGCAAGGGGGTGGGGGGCAGTTAAGTAGACTAACATGTTTGCATGGCAAGTTTTGATCGAATATGTGAGACACTTTAAAATCGTTACAGATAGCCCTTATTTTAAGCCAAAATTTGGTATACATAAAGTTGGAAGTATGGTTATAGTATTAGTGCTTGGCAGGTATTGACATATTTATCCGTCTGATCGGGCAATAGCGGTTTCATATATTTTGCAAGTGACTTCAAGATACCAGGTGGGCGAGTCCATTATTTTGCAGGGGTGGCATGATACACACATTTCAATTTTGTATATAGTGAATTCCCAGCGATTGATTTCAGTACAGTAAAACTGTCATAATGAACACCTCTTTAGTGAAGATCTGTGGCCAGTGAACACATGAGTCTACTCTATTGAACACCTGTGTATAGTGAACACCGATTCCCAGCCACTTTATTCGGTACAGTAAAACTGTCATAATGAACACCTCTTTAGTGAACATCTGTGTCCAGTGAACACATGAGTCTACTCTATTGAACACCTGTGTATAGTGAACACCGATTCCCAGCCAGTTTATTCAGTACAGTAAAACTGTCATAATGAACACCTCTTTAGTGAAGATCTGTGGCCAGTGAACACATGAGTCTACTCTATCGAACACCTGTGTCTTGTAAAACCTGTCATAATGAAGACCGGTGAAGACCGGTGCCTAGTGAACATCTGGGTGAACATCTGTGTATACTTCGAAGCATAGTACACCCTCTTTTTCAAAAAGGCAGCCATGGCTGTTCGATGGGATTTGCTATACCTTGACAATGCTGTTATCTATTGCAGGTTCGCTCCAGTAAGTTTAATTCAATAAAAGTAGTGAATAATTTCTGTATAATAAATCAACAATCGCAAAATTTCAGGCTCTGAAGATTTTTTATTTTAATAATACAGATTTTCTCCAGTAAATTGAATTCAATTGAAGTACTGAAGAGAGCCTGTAAAACTCTCATCAAATATGGCTTGAGAAAAATATTTAGCTGATTTAAAGATAAATTTAAAACAAATCTTTCCATGTTTGTTTTGTATTTTGGGTTTAAAGAGATATTTGGTGTTTTCAAAATTTTGGTATCTGATTTTTCTGCCGCTCGAGTTTATTCTACTACACTTTGTTTTAATTGTGATATTTGTATACCTTCTATTTTTATCCAGTATTAGTAATGCCATTTTTCTCCAGACCTTTGATCTCAAGCTCATTTTCATTCTCTTAAGCAGGTGTGTATAGTTCCTGTTAACATACAACTCATGTATAAAGTTGGATTAGTTATCAACCACTGAAAATACTAATCGGTAGAGCATCAGATTTCGGATCCAAGGGTCCTAGGTTCGATTCCCACACGGGGCATTGAATTTAGCACACTTTCTTTCAATTTCTTTATCTGGCTTGTTACACTATGCTCGTTATAGTCATTAATTAGTCATTCCCCGGGGCGCCCTCGGGTCATTACAATTCATTCTAAAAAAATAATTACAGGATGACGAAATCAATTATTATTAATAAGTTTATTGGTCTCTTGAACATGTAATGTACATCGAGATGTAAGTCGAATAAAGCAAATAACAAATAAAACATTTATGTACATGCATGGCAAAACAATACTTACAATCTAATTTTAACAATCACTAAGTACTATACTTAATAGCATAAAATGATTTCACGTCAATTTTGTTTAACAACTCTTTGGTAATATTGTGAACTCTTGTAAAATAATCACCAATTATTTCATTAATTGCATCATCGTGCGCTAACAAGGAGTATAAAAATAGACTTCTTGTATTAAAATGAGAAAAACTATCGAAGACGAAATCAATACCAACAAATTAAAATATACGAATAAAATAAGACTTTTTTACCTCCAGAAGGGCCACAGGTGAATTTGAGAAGTGGGAAGCTGACTGTAAGATGGACCTCAGTGTAAACCCAGATGCAAAGTGCGACATTCTCGAAGCATTTGTCGTTTCATTCAGAGATGATAGTCAGGGAATCACAGGTTGGCGTGAAGAGTTCAAATGCGGTAAGTACAAGAACAAGTAGCCTCACTCATCAACTAGAATATTCAGTGGTGCTAAGTATTATAGTTTCAAGAAACGTACTCGGAAAACCTAGATATTCATCCCTGAGGCCCAGGTATATATCAGTCATATGATTCTTATACAATGTAAATAATCTATATAGTACTTCTTATTCATGTAAAAAATCTATATAGTAAAATAATATTATACATGTATTCACCACGCATTACAAACTCAGTACACAAGGGAACTTTTTAAACATTTTAACGTATTCCTTGGCCTCAAAGTAATACATCCCAGATTTCTTTCTCATTTAACACAAACTAGCTATTCATCCTTGGCCCAAGGGTATATCAATGGTTTCTATAGCTGCCATAGCAGTAAAGGCCGATCTTGAAAGTACAACCAATCGACTAATTTCGATTATAAGAATTTTACAATAAGTGGATTACTCGTGGACTCAAGCATACAATTCCTTATTATCCGAGAGCCTTATCAACAAGATTGGTCCATGAAAAGCAGTCTAATGTATTAATTATACTCTCACTCCACACCATATTGGTTAGACAAACAAAATATGATTTTGTTTAACACGGTCCCAAAATTGGTATAGAAACTATTGAAATGCCCTTTGACCAAGGATGAATCATTGTTGCGGAATTGTCTCAGCAGACACTTAAATTGGCGAAAATGGGGAAATCTTTATAAACCGATGGCATAACAAATTTCTTTAGCATAGTCATAAATATCTCATTCGATACCATTCCATTCTTATAGCCATTCAATGTGGAAAAAATGAGCAATATCTCTACGATGGTCCTGGTTGTGAAGAGCATTGTTTGGAGAGTGAACCGCGCTTTTGTGAAGAGCATGCGAGACGAGAAGGTTGTTTTTGTAGAACAGGCTATGTTAGGTGCCATGGAAAATGCACTGTTACGGGTATCTACTTAGCTACATGTACATTAAAAATAAATAAGTGTGAAGTGAGGTTAATTTTTGAAAGTTTCAAGGAGTAGCCTTGCAACAGTCACACATTTGCAAGAATCCAAATTTTCCACAAATCATCTTTCCTTTCCCAGAAACTAAGAAGGAGCATGAAAATGTGCATTTCTTGCATTGTTAGAGTACAATATAAAGCTCAAACCATTGTAAATTCTAAATATTTCATGTCCACCATTTTGTTTGGCGGAACTACTTCTAGACTTTCTGATTAACCCTTATACAAGTTTTGTGACTACACCAAATCTTTCAAATGTGTGACTGTTGCAAGGCTACTCCTTGAAACTTTCAAAAATAGTCTCACTTCACACTCTTCATGCTAGCTTTGGGGATCTATGTGCCTCCAATTCATAGTGATGTTTTCTTTTATGTGTCTCTTTAGTCAGGAAATGCATTCACATACAAGGAAAACATTACACAAAATCTTCTGACTTCATCAAAAAATATGGCTGCCATGTTTTTGTACTTTTGATTAACTTTAATGTCACCTTAATGTGTTATCTCTATGAAAACCAATGAGCTATGAATTTGATTTTCAGATAGAGTGGATTGCACTTGGGGTGCGTGGAGTGAGGATGGGATGTGTACCTCATGTAATGAGCAATGTATCAAGTACTGTATGAAATACAGGAAAAAGAATCCTGCTCAAAAACGTGGAAAAGACTGTATTGGTGTAACGTTGATGCATGTCACTAGGAAATGCACAGGCGGGAAGTGTGCGAAGAACCCTGGTTTGTATTAATTTACTATTTATTTTACATATCTACGAGTAAAAGACTTACTCGCTCGCCCTTCCAGTTACTTTACACCATCTGCCATGGTCATTGGTTTGTCCCTCGTTTCAGATTTGGACATTTTCAACAGTATGCAGGTCTATGACATTGGCGCTCCTCCGTCTGCATTATAGACATTTTGAGAGTTTTACTTGACAATATGTCACCTTTTAGGTGAATTCTGGTCCTGGTATTTTGGAGTAGAGTAGGAATATGTACCCTTCTCAATTTTGGAGTGTACACCTATATTTCTTTAAGAAAGGACCGCGAGTTGTTTGTAGAGTGAATCTGGGCAGCTTTTTCATGCATTTCGCTTGTGTTTTTCATCTAAAAACATCAATACACGTTAAAACATTTTATTGACTATAAGATTACACCATAATCATAAACTTTATATCACTGCACAAGCCAATGAGGTGTGTATAAGTGATTAACTTTCCTGTTTTCTTTGAGCGATGTGTAAATGTCTGAAATCCTCCACAAAACAACTTTTTATGTCCATATTGTCGTCCTAGGCGCGTCCGTCCGTCCGTCCGTCCGGTTGTCCGCCTATCTGTCCGTCCGTACGTCCGGCAGTTTTCTCCAAAACCACTACAGGTATCACCTTCAAATTTTCAGGAATAACTTGTGAGTGAATACAGATGTGGATGAAAAAAAATTAACTCGATAGCTACTTCCTGTCGGCCATTTTTAGGTCAAATGCTAAAATCCTTGTCTGCAAACTTTAAGAAAAACGGCTTCACAGTTGCTTTTAAAACTTTAACATCTTGTTCAGCTCACTTCATTCTACATCTGATTAGGTTTTGGACCTGTTAGCTCAGTTATGTCAGCCAATTTGAATGTCTTAAGAAAAACTAGCGCGCGATAATACTTTGTATCATATTGAATGGTGTTTTTGAGTTTTCATACTTTAACTATTTAGTAGCTTTATAAATAATTTCAGGTGTACTTTGTTGTAAAAGCCCATGTTATTGTTAACAGTGGTCATATGTGATAATTATGTAAAAGGAAATCAGCAAAAACTCATAATCACTTTTTATTGTCGGCCATTTTGTTTTTTTCGTCCTAAAATCTTGTCTGTAAAGTCTTGTCTACGCGTTCAAATTTTCAGGGATGATTCTTAGTATGAAAATCTAGATTTGATTAGTTTTTTTGCGTTCTGGGTAAATGTCAAGGCAGCCATTTTGGATTTTCCGTCCTAAAATCTTGTCTTTGAAGTCTTGTCTATGCATTTCCAGGTGAACCGTTTGTTAGATCAATTTCAAATTTTCAGGGATGATTCTTAGTATCAAAAAAATAGTATAAAGAGTAAGGCATGTGGGTCCAATTGTTCATTTACTCTAAAGGGATGTCAATTTTAATGTGAAATGACAATCTACATGTTAATAAGATCCTATAGTTATATAGATTCAAAATTAAATTGTCTAACTTTTTTGTACACTAAGTGTTGAGCTTACTTGATAAATGCTAAAGTTACAGTGCTTCAATTAAAGTCATTTTTGAAAATCATTTTTGCCTCCTGTGTTATTTCAATAGGAGAGGTATTTTGAAAAACAATTTTGACTTTAAAGACCTATAACTTTACTGATCCTGAAGAAAGGTATCAATTTTTTATTAGATAATGTTAACAAATTTAATTGCCTACCTAACTTCTATTTTTTGCAAGGACTCGGAGTGATGGATATTCTGTCATATGACTTGCGGCAAACCTACTATTTTCCATTGGTTAACATGGGAATGTCGATTTTCAGAAATTCATCAAATTTATCATCAATTTTTGACCTATTGTAATTGGGGAAAAAATTGAGAAAATTTAGAGGTGTTGGAAATATAGTCAATTATTTTAAGTATTTTCATCGCAGGTTAAGTAAATAAAAATTCAAAAGTAAAGAGGCGTTAACACGTAGTTCAATGGGGGAGCTAACGTTGCAAAACTTATGGAGGGGAGTTACGGTAAGTGTATCACATATTCACTGCAGAATATGCCATACTCAACTGCGGAATATGGCATAAACCAAAGGTGACTACGGCATATGACAAATACCGTGCAACCATAAATATGCCATATTCCTCATAACAAGGATGAACAGTCCCCTGGTGACGCTCAAGCATGTAAATTGTAAATAATTAATAACATGTCATAACACTGATCGAAATATAATATTCCCGGGGCATTTGGGCATTTTGAATTCTAAGAATGATAACAAATGTTACGCAATGAAAGCGCAAATCATGATTATGGGACCTTATATACTCATTAATCTTTGGGATAAGAGCACAAAACAAGTATACTCGTGAACGAGAGATAATTATAACAATTAAATCAACCAAACTTTCCTTTGTACAATTACAATATTGAGAGACCTTAACACGTTGTGTATATTTCATTTTGTTCCAATGCGGCTCGGATAGATGTTTCGTTTCATTCCGAACATATGAACAAAAGAATCTAGTGTGTTTTCTGAAACAATATAGAGAAAAGTATTTTTTTCAAATTTAACTGTTACAATTCAAAAGATGATCATTAGATTGATGTTGTGTAAAAATTTCAGAATTTTTTGATGTTTGGTTTAAGAGAAACATCTGTTTAATTCAGTTCGCCATATCGATACCAGTCCTTTATTTCGTGAATGTATAATTCTTAGATCAACATTCTGTTAAGAAAATGAGCTACACTCCCCTCCATAAGTTTGGCAACCTTTTTTCCCCATTGAACTATGTGTTAAAGCCTCTTTACGTTTGAATTTTTATTTACTTAACCGTCGATGAAATAACTTATAATACTGATGGAAACGTAACTTGACTTTATTTCCAATACCTCTAAATTTTTTCCTCAATTACAATTGGTCGGAAATTGATGATAAATTTGATGAATTTTTGAAAATCGTCATTCCCATGTAATCCAATGGGAAATGGAGGGTTCGGGGCAAATCAGAAATCAGGATATCTTTTCAGTAAAAGATTCAGCAAAAAATATTTTTATATAGAAAATTGAATTGTCTAACTTTTTTGAACACTAAGTGTTTAGTTTATTTGATGAATATTAAAGTTACAGCGCTTCAAAGTCATTTTTGAAAATAATTTTTCGCCTCCTGTGTTATTTCAATGGGAGAGGTTTTTTGAAAAACAATTTTGACTTTAAAGCCCTATAACTTTGTTGAACCTGAAGAAACATATCAATTTTTTGTTAAATAAAGTTAGCAAATTCAATTGCCTGCCTAACTTGTATTTTTTGCAAGGACTCGGATGGATGGATATTCTGTCATATGACTTGCGGCAAACCTACCATTTCCCATTGGTTAACATGGGAATGACGATTTTCAAAAATTCATCACATTTATCATCAATTTTCGACCTATTGTAATTGAGGAAAAAAATTGAGAAAATTTTGAGGTATTGGAATTAAAGTTAAATTACGTTTCAATCAATAGTATAAGTATTTTCATCACAGGTTAAGTAAATAAAAATTCAAAGGTAAAGAGGCTTTAACATGTAGTTCAATGGGGGAAAAAAGGTTGCCAAACTTATGGAGGGGAGTGTAGGTTGATAAATGCTTACATTAGTGAGAGGAGTTTTCATATCACTTTATAATCACCCTGTACCTTTGATTGCTACATTTCACAGTCCATATATCTCCTCATCAACAAAAAACAAATCGTCCAACGATTACATTTAACGTTTTACTTGAGTATTCACCCTCTCGCCTTCACTGCTAATAATTATTTTGCTCTTTATGATATGATCAGGAGAAGTATAAGATACATAAAATTACAGTACTTCACTTGGCTACATGAACGCTTTACGAATTTGAAAGCGCGGTGGGTTTATGCTGACGCTGCTCTTGTCTAATCCAGAATCAAATTATTTTTCTAGAGAGAGGAAAAAGACAAGCCTCGGAAGAACAACAACAGTGTAGGGGATGGGGTGACGTCCACTATATCACATTTGATGGCTTGGAGTACAACTTCCATGGTGTCTGTAAATACACTCTATTAGAAGACACAACTATCCTAAAATCATTCAAGGTATTTATCAATCCTTTCATCGGTCTACATGTATACCATAAGTTCATTTCAGACTACTTTTATAGACTCATCGTCAGCTGCAGTAGGTTCACTATGTCGATCGATTCCGTTAAATCTTAGTATAGTCCTATTCGGCTAAAATATTCTGGTAGGCCTTATCTGTAAATAACCGTTCAATATTGTTACAACCCGCTCATTCGGATTAATTAATAATTATAATTAATTGAATCATTTATAATTTATATAAAATGATGTAATAAGGTTCCGAGTTATATATAGGTATTGGAAATGTAATAATCCTTATATAAAATCTTCTGTCTAGAACTTAACATAACTTTAATGATTAATGACAATAGAATGTACTGTTTCACCTGCAACATATGTCGGAACTGGTTATGTATTTTAGTAACAAAACACTACAGCTATTTTCTGTCAAGAATATCACATTGATGTCTATCATTATCCAATCATAATCTACTTACAAATTCAAATACCTGCAAGTTAAGCATAATTTAAGCCTAAGCATAACATAAGCAATATTTTGTCAGAATGACCAATAACTCTACCTGTATATATACGAGTGCGGAATTGCGGTAAAATCATTCTGGAATGGGAATCAATCAAAAGCTAACCCTACTATCACAACAAACTAGTTCTCACCACGTTCTCGAAAACGGGCTTCAACTATGTACGAATGGACTGGACGTACTTAGAACCGTTTGGGTTCTGTTTACAAACTTCATCCAACGTACTCGAATGGGTAGGTCCTCTGGAACTTAGAAAATGCTCAAAATGTTCTCGTGGTCGATACGTTCTACAATTAGAACGAGCAACAACGTACTAACGACGAGCTGGACGTACTACGAGCGGAACCGTCGTACTTAAATCCTACTAGGGACGTTTTAACAACGAGATGAACTGTCTGAGGACGTATTGAGAACGAGGTAGAACTTATTGCAAACGGGTTTAAACTGATTAAGAACGTATTTAGGACTGCTTATGAACGAGTTACCAAAGATATAGCCATCACACCGAACAAGTTGCCACTGCGTTCTTCAAAACTGGTTTTAAACTGTGTGCGAACGGAACGAACGTAGCTGCATGCAACTTTCTAAGGTCTATTTACGAACTTCAAGAACCTTTTCAGACGGGAAGGTGATGGCGACCATACCGTTCTGTAATCAAGTCATGATGACCTTCTAGACTAAGGGACGCGTTATACGACGTCGCACACCGGCGTGGTGCGACCTGAACGAAATGCGAATGAGATGGACGTATTGAAGACTGTTTATGAACGAAGTAGCTAATTATTTTAGAGATATTTACCGACCACAGCCAATAACTCCCGTATACTTCAATGTCAAGTAATGATCAGAGAAAAAACGTTTCTTTCACATAAACTATAAAGTATATAAAGTAAATTAAGTATAAAAGCTCCTATAATCCAATGTAAATAAGATAATCAGATATTTTAGAGTATAATAACGATACATGTTTTATTTTTCAAATCCAGAAAAAAAACTTAAACCACATGCGGATTAAGTCTGCGAATGGCCAACTCTGGCCAGCCCCTTTCAGCTAAAGAAATGAAATTTCATGTTAGACCACTCCGTTCTGCAACACAAAATAACTAATCTCATGATTAGCTTTTATTAATTTATGATTTGATGATTTATCTAAGTTGTCATTATACCATATAAGAAACTCGAGTTTTGTCAATGATTTCATATTCTGAACCAATTAATAAAGATTCGATGTCCTTGTTGAGATTTAAAAGTCCCACTCTTAATCTGCAGTCTCGACAAATTTAGGCACACCATGTTTCATTCTATACTAGAAATGGGTAACATGTTGACAGGGTTCTTTTAATCTGTAACCAATCTTTGTCTCCTTTTGTACAGTTGGATCATAGTTAATGCTTTCCATATATTTGAAAATGTATGCAAAATCCGGTAGCACATCATTTACAGAACCTGCTAACAGTATTTTATATGCAATTAATGCCTGGGTCACATTTGCCCCGATCCATCGGCCGGCGCCCGGCCGATTGAGTGTTTTATTCAATAATGTATTCACTTTTGAACAAAATACTCAATCTATGACCAAGGCATTAATGACTCGTATTTATAAATTATAGGTATTTGTGAAGAATCGTCGATGGGGGCTTACAGGGACATCTGTAACACAATACGTGGAAATTTATAATGGAGGCACACAGGAGACTGTCAGACTTGATGGTCTTGACGGTGTAGGACTTAAAAGAATTAAAGTAAATTCAATGACAGCTTTTGCCAATAGTTTAAAATGTTAATGATTGTATAATCAATCAAATACTAAAATTATCAATTTTTACAATCTTTGATCCGTGTTTTCATCTTAATGACATCCACCAGATGTCCTCAACTTTTGATTTGATTACAACCTACATGTACATGCACATCTAGGTTGATGGACGCCCAGTGGATCGTATACCATTCAATGGTAGAGACAATTGGTATACTGCCAGTATTGTAGGGAACCGTCTAACATTCGATAGTGATATCTTCGACATAAGTATAGCATTCACCGTCTCTCCTAGAGATAATCAACCATATTCTCCAGGCTATGGTGACGTTATGGTTACATTGGGAAGACAGTGGATGCTGCAAGCGGTTAGTTTGAATAACGTTCATAACGTCGCGGGATACTGATAGCATTCTGATTAGTTCAATTTATATTGGCATATATAGCCATTCATTTGGTAAATGTATGTTGCTATTCATTGTTGCAACATTTTTTTCTTTTTTATTAAAGGATCCAGTTGGTATTGATAAAGTTGATGGTCTTTGCAAGAATTATGATGGTATTAGGGAAAATGACTGGAAGGATAAAAACGGGGCTGACCTGACAAACAAGCCAGACAAAGAAAAATTACTTGGTACCAGTTACAAGGTCCTTGATGTACAGGATCGAAAGTGAGTGCTCATTTGACAAGATCATGTCTAATCAATGTACATTTTCAATTCACATTTTAAAACTTTGCCCATCACAACTTCGACTGTAGCACATTCCTGAGACATTTCAAGCATCTCTTAGCTTAATTATAATAATACTAATGTACTGATATTATAAACCTCAATCGTACTAAACTTACAATATTTCAGTTGTGTAGACATGATCACACTTAAAGTTAACACTCCTCCACAATCTATTATACACTCTGCCACTGAGTTCTGTCGCGGGATCGTCAACCCAAACGGAATTTTCAAACAAATCGTTCGACCTCGAGAAAGGTAAAGTGATCATTGTTTCAAATTGCTCATTTTGACAAACAATCATTTTATTTGCTTTATCGCCGAGTTCTGTATAAATTACCGAGACATAGCGTAATTTTAGTAATAAGTTTTTTTTTTAAAAACGTGTATCTTGACCTCCCTGATGATTGAGATTCGCAAACGTTTGTAAGCTTATTATATTTATTAACACTTTATTAACAATTTTCCAGGGGACTTAAAACATGGGAAGCTAACTGTAGAACGGATTTTACCGCAGAACCCAATGCAAAGTGTGACATTGCTAAAGCGTTTGCCGACATTCACAGCGATAATGGTCGTGAAAACAAGGAATGGCGAAAGGAATTGAAGTGCAGTGAGTGTACATTTTTACAAACAATCAAACAAACGATTTTTATTAATAAAATCAAAATAATTTTATTTGTAGCAACTGCTCTGTGATAATCTAACAACATGATAATCCAAGGTTTCAATGGTGTAACATAACTATGGACGTTTCCTTGAGTAGAACTCGTTTGAAGCTCTATGTCACTCCATGACACGCTATCCCTGGTAGTCCCTGTCAAACGTCGACTATAGTATACCTTTCCATGCTTGTAGCAATTCAATGTGGACAAAATGAGGTATATATGCATCATGGTCCAGGTTGTGAAGAGCATTGTGAGGAGGATAAACCACGTTGGTGTGACAATAAAAGGCGAGAAGGCTGTTTCTGTAAACCAGGGTACGTAAGGTGCAATGGGAATGGAACATGCATCATACCAGGTATGTGAAGCCCTCTTTCAAATAACTCCCAGTTGAACAATGAACTTCAGAATCCAGAGGACAAAAGAAAATATATTATCAGATCAAATATTAAGGCATTAAGTTTACATCATTGTGTTTAGACCTTCTACTTTTTGATATGCAAAACTTACACGGACACTGACTTTTAAAGCTGAAAAATCAAACTACTTTAAAGTTGAAGATATGAAGTTACTATCAGGGGCGGATCTAGGATTTCAGGTTAGAGGGTGCGCCTTGATTATTTAATTCGTGGCCGGTAGATGACGAAGGAGGTCGGAGAATGACTAACAGGGGGTCCCAGGAAATTTCAAAAATTTGAATCGCTTTTTGTTGCAATCTGAGCATTTTTTTAATTAGAAAATTGCATATGAGATAACAACAAGCATATTGTTTTTCGGTAAAATTATTTTCATCAACCTTCGGTAAAATCTACCATTTCCTAATTAACTGAAATCTTGATTAAACTGAACATCCCAAACATACATATGGAAACGTTTGATAAACTTGTAATTGATAACTTTTTAAAATTTAAATCGACTGACCATACTTTTATCTCCATCCTCATTTGTACGAACAAAGTTTAATGATTCCAATAATGATCAAAGGCTTATATTGCATAGTTATCTGAAATTAATTGTTTTACCAAAGTGAAAAGCGTCCGAGAAAGAGAACAATCTATATATTTCATCAGGAAATGAGTGCGATGTCAAAGATCCCCGGGCAAAGATCATCGTTTTCAAGCAGTTCGTTGATTTTTTCATCAGAGGCTACATAATTTAAAATGTTAACAACGTTTTAACATTAAAGCATGGGTACCATCTATTATATAACTATCAAAACTGTCGTTTTGCAATTATAAAATTAGTGTTCTAACATACATATTGACTTGCGTAGTTTTGAATTTACACCTTGCCACTGTATAGTTTTCACGTTTTCGGTTTGGTTTCATATAGTTTTTTCAAATCTCCATTGGTATTATTCTCGTTCTTGAATACGTGCATTTTTCTTTCATATAGTAGTTGTGTGTCATTATTGTATTTTTTCGTCTTAAATTGATTGAGTCTCTTGCGGCTTCCAGGCATCAGCTTCTCTCAGGCGAATATCTAAAAATCCCCTATTCTTTAGGGGATTCTAACATAATAATTAATTTCATTAAAATTGTACGACTTGCATAATGCTAAATCGAAAATCGCAAATCAGCATTAAAATATATTTGTTTAAAATTGAAGAACACGATCATCAAAGGTTACTAGTATTTAACATTCAATATACAATTCATACAATCTAAAAAAAGAATAATCCCACTATAAATACAATATGCAAGTTTTTTTTATTCAAATTTCATTAGAACTAAATAATTGTCTATGCCGGATTTATCTGGCGATTTTTAAAATATTCAATAAAATTATGACATGCCGGCCAGCTTTTTTCAAATGGAGTTCACAGTATTCCAGATGGAATTACCTCTAGCAAAGAATTGGCTAGAGACTTGAGTAATGTCCAATAGTCTTTAGCATAATTATAATGTTGTTTAACATGGATTTCACAAGTTGTCCGGTGCCAAACTGTCTTTGTTACTCCTTCTAAGATTGTGATTGGTCAACTTGGACGTTTGGTGATGACGAAAGATGTGAAGATTGCTCAAACAATTGTGGAGGGGGCATTGCTAATTGCACAAGAATCAGAACAAGAACCGGACCGAATTGCACTCCTAAAACACAATCTCAATTGCACACTACAACTAAGATTTGCAATACACAACCCTGTAATTATAAGAAAGATTATTGACTTACTAGTATATTAAATCAGTTCTCGATCGCTTGAAATGTTAGCACAATTCTTTAGCACAGTGTCGGTGTCAACCCGAGGATTGTTTAAGATTAGCTGCAAATCATGTTTTCTTTCATAACAACAATAACTGGTATTTTGATAAAACCATAATTAGGTTGTACATGGTCCCCCTGGACTACTTGGAGCGAGAGTTGCCCACATTGCCCTAGTTGTGGTGGTGGTTCTGTTAGATGTACACGGACGAGGACCAGACAGGGTCAGGGGCAGTATTGCCAACAACCACGAGATTCTCAAAGCGAGACATTAATTAAGATATGTGACGAAAACTGTTAGTATAAGAATAATTGTTAAATTATATTATGTCAACGCCAGGAGTGGTGACATACTGTTATAGTCTCCAACTTTTTTGTGCACGGTGTTCACCTGTTGGTGTTTGGCGTCTGTAACAAATGGCGGTCAGTTTCTGTAACAAATGGCAGGTGGTGATATCTTGCATGTTCATGCCTTTTGTTTATAGTTGTTTTGTTTTTAATCACAGGATACACAGTAGGGCTTATAAAGAAATGCTTGAATTAAATAGAATATCTAAAATCTAAGTTATATTTTTGAAACAAATATTTGGATGATTTATTTCCGTCTGTTCTCTTCTGGGACATGTGTAGGTTGCTGGTCCAATTGGAGTCCTTGGAGTAAAAATTGCCCTCCTTGTCCAACTTGTGGTGGAGGGCCGAATACATGTAAACAGACTAGAACCAGACAAAGTGAGCATTGCACGCCGACTTCTCAGGAAAAGAACACCGTATCAACCGAAGTATGTCCCAAACGATGTAAGTAAAGTTTTTCTAGAATGTTATTCATAATGCTTTCACAATGTTAGACTTTTCGCCTAAATTCCCTCTTGCGTTGGCGTGTGGAGTGTAGATATTAGAGTTGTTTAAGCTTGTACTGTTTTTCACAACGTAAAAAACATAGGCGGATTGTAATTTCATAAATGTCCTGTGGTGAACATGTTTACCTATTGTTGAATTTGTTGACGTTATACACTATAATTTTTACATTTCAAAATGTCATTAGATGTCATATATGTAGATGAGCAAAAAAGTTAGAAATATATAAAGATTCATACATCATATCGTTTTTACTCAAGTTTAATTATCCTGCTTGACATGCGATGAACAAAGCTTCTCCGCATCTCACCCTAGATACCTGTATTCAAACAATAGTCTTCTTAGTATGTAAGAAGAGCATCAGATACACTAACCGTTTACAACAACCAGCTTCTGCTGCATTCATGTTATATATGTTATAAATTACTGTTCCATCTTGTACATATAAATGCCCATTAATATTGTGTGAGTCTACTGATACTACCCCTGGAAATTATATGGGGCGAGTTTAAAATAGTTAACCTCAACTCCACGAAACGTAGCATGCCTCTGGATAAGGTTCTGTTTGAAATAAACATTTTGTCAAACGACGGCATTAAATTAATTGTGATTTTTAGCTCACATGGTGAGCTTTTGCAATCACTCACTTGTCCGTCTGTCTGTCTGTCTGTGATTGCGTCCGTCCGTCCGTCCGTCCGTCCGTCCGTCCGTCCGTCCGTCCGTCCGTCCGTCCGTCCGTCAACAATAGTGGCACGTTTTAAAACCTCTGTCAATAGGATTCCTGTTTTAAGTTATTTTGGTTCAACATCAATACTGAAAACTCCCCTATGACTCCTGGTTCAAAAGCTCGCATATTTTCAAAAAGGCCGCCATTTTTGTCTCGCAAAATTCACTTTTGACCCATTTCCTAGCTTTACAAATAATTTCAGGTGTCCTACATTGTAAAAATCCCTGTCAATGTAAAGAGTGGGTGTATGAAATAATTTCGTTACGAAAAATCAGCAAAAAATCATATCCATTTTTTTTATTTTCACTCATTTTAGTTAACATTGATTTGTCTATCTGTCTCGCGAAATCCACTTTTGGACCATTTGCCTTAAAACCTCTGTCGATAGGATTCCCGTTTTAAGTTAATTTTGTTCAACATGAATACAAAAAACCCTCCTATGACTCTTGGTTCAAAAGCTAGCCTATTTTCAAAATGGTCGCCGTTCTTGTCTCGCGAAATTCACTTTTTGCCCATTTCCTAGCTTTACAAATAATTTCAGCTGTTCTACATTGTAAAAAGCCATGTCACTGTAAAGAGTAGTTGTATGAAATAATTTTGTTACAAAAAATGGGCAAGATATTATATCCGTTTTTTTTTATTTCCAACCATTTTACTTAACATTGATTTGTCAATCTGTCACGAAAAATCCTCTTTTGGACCAATTGCCTTAAAACCTCTGTCGATAGGATTCCAGTTTCAAATTATTTTTGTTCAACATCAATACAAAAAAACTCCCGATGACTCCTGGTTCAAAAGCTTACCTATTTTCAAAATGGTCGCCATTTTTGTCTCGCGAAATTCAATTTTGGCCCATTTCCTAGCTTTACAAATAATTCCAGATGTCCTGCATTGCAAAAAGCCATGTCGCTGTAAAGAGTAGTTGTATGAAATAATTTTGTTATTTTGTTACAAAAGAAATCAGCAAAAAATGTTATCCGTTTTTTTTTATGTCACCACCAAAAGTGGTGACATATTGTTATGGTCTCCGTTTTTTTGCGACGGCGGTTGGCGTCCGGCGGTTGGCGGTTGGCGTCCGGCGGTTGGCGTCCGGCGTCTGTAACAATTTCTTACAACTTCCTATAACTTAACAAATACTGTTTAGACTGACTTCAATTTTTTTCTAAATCATCTACATGTTCTCAGAAGTTCAAATCTGACTTTAGATTTGACATTTGACCTTCAATGACCTTCTCAAGGTCAAAAAGGTCTTTTTTCAACTTGCTTCACATTGACTAAATTTTTATTCAAAATCATCTACATGTTCTCAGAAATTCAAATCTGACTTTAGATTTGACATTTGACCATCAAATCTGACTTAAGATTTGACATTTGACCTTCAATGACCTTCTCAAGGTCAAAAAAGGTCAAAAAGGTCTGTTTTCAACTTGCTTCAAATTGACTAAAATTTTTTTTCAAAATCATCTACGTGTTCTCAGGAATTCAAATCTGACTTTAGATTTGACTTAAGATTTGACATTTGACCTTCAATGACCTTCTCAAAGTCAAAAAAGGTCAAAAAGGTCTTTTTTCAACTTGCTTCAAATTGACTTAATTTTTTTTTCAAAATCATCTACATGTTCTCAGAAACTCAAATCTGACTTTAGATTTGACATTGACCTTCAATGACCTTCTCAATGTCAAAAAAGGTCAAAAAGGTATTTTTTTCATCTTGCTTCAAATTGACTAAATTTTTTTTTCAAAATCATCTACATGTTCTCAGAAATTCAAATATGACTTTAGATTTGACTTTAGATTTGACATTTGACCTTCAATGACCTTCTCAAGGTCAAAAAAGGTCAAAAAGGTCTTTTTTCAACTTGCTTCAAATTGACTAATTTTTTTTTTCAAAATCATCTACATGTTCTCAGAAATTCAAATCTGACTTTCAAATTGACTTAATTTTTTTTCAAAATCATCTACATGTTCTCAGAAACTCAAATCTGACTTTAGATTTGACATTGACCTTCAATGACCTTCTCAATGTCAAAAAAGGTCAAAAAGGTATTTTTTCATCTTGCTTCAAATTGACTAAATTTTTTTTTCAAAATCATCTACATGTTCTAAGAAGTTCAAATCAAACCTTCTTAAGGTCAAAAGGTATTTTCCAACTTGCTTTAAATTGACCAAATTGTTTTAGGTGGTGACATTTTGTCATGTTAATGCCTTGTTTATTTTCTGTCATTTTAGCCATCATTCACTTTTGAGCAACACCATGTGAGCCCAGTACCCACGGTACTATTTTTTATTTCCTGTTTTGTATATGTTACTCGCAGGTTGTTGGTCAAGCTGGGGCACTTGGGTCGAGAATTGCCCCAATTGTCCTTGTGGTGGACGGTCTGTTACATGTTCACGGAAAAGGATTAGATCCGGAAAATACTGTGAGAAGAAATCTGAATCACAGAGTAGCTCGTCAACCAAAAAATGTGAAACACTTCCATGTAAGTATTATAATTTAAATCGAACCCTTATCACTGATAGTGCAGTCAGTTATGACAAAAAACCTTGAATTGCACTTGCTATATATACGGCACCATTTTTTGACCAAAGTATCATCATTACATATACAGGGTGTTCCAAAAGTAACAGGACTGGTGCTGGCATTTTGTTGAATATGCACCAATAGTCTTCAAAATTGTACATAATGTACTTCCATGTATTGCTACTAAGACTGCAAAGTTTCGACAAAAATTATGAAACTGGGGTAGAGTTATGGTTGCTATGGTAACATGACATCACGATACCCGGGGCAACATTCCACGCAGAAAGTTACAGAGGCTTTCAGCATTTTCTACATCCCATATCAAAGTTAGAATCCAACAACTGGTGGGAATTACATTTGCTAAATACATCATTTGATATTCCTATGTATCCTCTAGAAAAAAGTAGGGTCCTCTTATGTCAGTCCAAAGTAGCACTCAGTATCCATGACTCAAACACATGAGTGAACCCATTTGATGACATGTCACGCAGAGTCCATAGGACAACTTGGAGAAGGTCATTCTCATCTTTAAAGGTCTTACCGCGCTGATTAGCATTCCATTTTCCATACAAAAATAAAAATTAGATATTGCATGATCGGAAGAGTATGGTGCATGGTCTTAGACCTCAAGACCTAGCTCCGCTATAGCTGCAGTGGTCTTTAATGCTGACTTGCGGGCAGACGCCTTATCAAGGTGGATGACTGGCTTCAAATTGGGTATTTTCAAAAACTCAACAGTGAATTGTGCAGACTGTTATACATAATGATATTTCAGGAAATTGAATAAATATTATTATTATGTAATCATACTTGAATCTGAGTTATATAGCTACATCACATAAATATAAAGCAACTTATAAAACAAACAAGAAATGTTGTATTATAATAGGTGAATAAGATACTTTCTTCAGTAATATAAAAATGTTAAATATTACATTTCCATGAAAAGTTGCCCCGGGTATTGTGATGTCACGTTACTATAGTAACCATAACTTTTCCCGCATTTTATCATTTTTTCTGAAACTTTACAATTTTAGTTGCACTACTTCAAAGTACAATTTGTAAAAATTTGAAGACACTCGGTGCTGAATTGACAAAATCCCAGCACCAGTCCTGTTACTTTTGGAACACCCTGTATTTATGAAATCCACCGAAGTGGTGTCAAAAAGTGGCCCCAGTGGATAATAACAGGCTTTGAGAATTTTGCATGTTTCCATTGAGCCCCATGCATATGTTAATTTATCAATCTTCAAAAGCACCCCTGCAGAACAGTTCAAGAGCAATAAAGTCTTCCTAGTATGTAACTCATGACTCAAATGTCTTCAAAATAAGAAGGGTTACAAGCTAGATATTGTCTAGTTCAAAAGATATTGGTGTTTGAATTTTGGAAAATACCATTGACTGCCATTATAAACTACTCTCAATATGGCTTTACTAAAGGGTCATTTTCTCCAAAAGTCCAGTATAGAATTTTCTGATGTTTCAAATTTCTACAATATAATTTGAAAAATATATATGTACTTTCATCTATATTGTTTTCGAAAACACATCAAACACTTGTTTTGCTCTTGGTATCATGTTTCCAGAGTGAAATGAAACATCTTTCCGAACCTCATTGGAACAAAACGACTTAAACACATCATATTTATAGGTCTCTCAATATTGTAATTGTACAAAGGAAATTTTGGTTTATTTTAAAAAAGTATCTTGTTAATGATATAAAATGTTTATCTTGATTTTTATCTATTTTGGGGGGATTTTGTTTTTTGAAAACTTTTTTTAAATCAACCCAAAATTCCTTTGTATAACTATAATATTGAGAGGTCTAAAAACATGTTGTATATGCTATTTTGTTCCAACAAGGTTCGGAAAGACATTTTATTTCATTCTCAAGAATTGGTAGAAAGGAGCAAAAACAATTGCACTAAAAAAAACAAAAAATGTTACCAAAAAACAGTTATATAAAATATTTCTAAATAATTTTCGCATTAAATTGTTGTCAATCAGTCAACATTACATAAAACACCGTGTTTTTAGCTCACATGTTGAGCTATTGCAATCACTCACTTGTCCGTCTGTCTGTCCGTCCGTCCGTCCGTCCGTCTGCCCGTCTGTCCGTCTGTCCGTCTGTCCGTCTGTCCGTCTGTCCGTCTGTCTGTCTGTCTGTCTGTCTGCCTGCCTGCCTGCCTGCCTGCCTGCCTGCCTGCCTGCCTGCCTGCCTGCCTGCCTGCCTGCCTGCCTGCCTGCCTGCCTGCCTGCCTGCCTGTCTGTCCGTCTGTCAACAATTGGCCAGTTTTAAAACCTCTGTCAATAGGATTCCCGTTTTAAGTTATTTTTGTTCAACATCAATATAGAAAATACCCCTATGACTCCTGGTTCAAAAGCTCGCCTATTTTCAAAATGGCCGCCATTTTTGTCTCGCGAAATTCACTTTTAGACCATTTGCTTTAAAACCTCTGTCAATAGGATTCCCGTTTTAAGTTATTTTGTTCAACATCAATACAGAAAACTCCCCTTTGGCTCCTGGTTCAAACGCTCGCCTATTTTCAAAATGATCGCCATTTTTGTCTTTGCGAAATTCACTTGTGGTCCATTTCCTAACTTTACAAATAATTTCAGGTGTCCTGTATTGTAAAAAGCCATGTCACTGTAAAGAGTAGTTGTATGAAATAATTTTGTTACAAAAAATCGGCAAAAATTACACCCATTTTTTTATTTTCTGCCATTTTAGCCATTGTTCACTTTTGAGCAACACCATGTTAGCCCAGTACCCACGGTACTATTTTTACAGAATGTTTTCAATGATTAGTTTAGGAGAAAAACATAGTTGAATACAGTTCTCCATATCGATACCACTCCCTTACCTTAAGATTAGAGGGTTGCATTCTTTTCCACCCTGTTCAAGTACTACTCATATATTTATGTACATCATTTTGACATCTAGGTGAAGAGTGTACCTGGGCTCCATGGAGTGGTGATACGCTGTGTACCTATTGTGATTCCTCCTGTACAAGGTATTGTCTGAGATACCGAACAAAGATTAGGGGGAAAGAGGGTGGAGATGACTGTGTTGGTGTAAGCATAGATTACGTTGTAAGAGAATGCAGCGACTGTACTTAGGTAAATAATACTGTATTTGTGAAAATATGTCCCGTGGCCATGGGAGAGTTTATTTTAAAATTACTGTATATTTAAACGAATCGATTTCTGCTAGATTCCCTATTTGAAAATAAATTTTTTATCCATTCTAGTACTTTTTATTAGCGTAACGTTAAACATTATTATTAACAAGTACAGTATTCACTATCATTACTAATTTTTCAAAATTAAACATTCTTCAACTGTAAAATTTCTTTTTTATCTTCAAATGAAATACATGTATCTTACTATAATTTAGCCTATTGTGTATTGTTCACAATAAGATAATCAAGAACTTTCAATAGTTTTTCAAAAACAATTTCTGAAACAACAACAAAAAGTGGTTCATAAATAAGTCATAGCGATCTATTTCACATCTTTTTCAATTTTACACAGATTTGACAAAATATGTACTTTTACAGATTGAGATGATTGCTGATACGCGCCATCGGAGGGATGGAATCTTTTTTGAAAGCGAAACGTCCAAATCGATTGAAGATGTAAATAAAGAGCACGCCTATTTATAAGAAGTAAATTCCGATGAACTGTTTCCGAAAAGGATATTTGTTTTAAAATATGATTTATGAATGGAAATTCTCCGTTCTGCTGAACAACACAATTGGACAATTAAGATTTGGATCTGGGAATAATTATGATTCGAAAAGTATAGTTATTTGTAAAACAATTTGGACAAATAAATGTATTCGGAAGTTTAGTTCAACATATACAAGTACAACTAGTTTTTTGTTAAGAGGCTCATGTTGAATTTACTATTTATATATTCAAATTGATTTGTATTGGTTTGTAAATCCCTTTGATAATTTCATAATACAATTGAATTTTACTAATATGCGTAATATACAAGGGGCGATCAACAAATAACGCAAATAGAGCCCTATCTCAGAAACTCATTGGAGTTAGAACACCAAACTTGATAGGAAGTATCACCAAATATTCATTATTTCGCAACAAAATCTGAGGCACAAATATTACTTTATGTTAGAGTTATGGTTGCCATAGAAACCCGTGGTATGGGCACCTGAAGCAGGTCGTGAATCATAACAATAAGGTATTGAATGTCTGTCCAAAATGAGTTTGAAAGACACTGTTGAGTCATACAATTTTGATGTTATTTGGGTGTAAATCAATTCTGAGGTTTCTGTTAATTGATGTGATCTACTTTTAATACTTTTATTAACTTATAATGCCTACCCAACAACAGCTTTGTCATTAGGCTATACATGTCAATACCCAACAATAAGATGACAGAAACCACAGGCATTGAGGAAATCAAAGTCAAGTCAGCTATACTGAAAAATGGTAGAATCGAAAACGTCAATCATCAGACTTCCATAGAAGACAGAGAGAACTGATATAATGCTGTATTTTGAATGAAATGTTACTGCAAAAAATTATGAGATGCTAAATAAATCATTTGGTAATGAAAATGAACTAAGCAATGTCTACAGGTGTTACTGAACGATTTCTGAAAAACAAGGAAGATCTGCTGAGGACGCTGCCCGTACAGGTGCTCCAAAAACAACACGCATAGCAGAGATGATTAAAGAAGTAGAGCAGCTATGGTTGATAGGACTGTCGCTACTTAACATGAACTGGGCATGAGTTATGAGTCTGAAAATGATTGTTAAAAAACGGTGACATCATATATTTGAGGTGTTTCAGGTGCCCACAACTTGGGTTACCGTATGCTAAAACCTTATTGTTACTTAATATTCAAGACCTGCTTCAGGTACCAATACCACAGGTTACTATGGTAACTGTTACTTTGGCGTATATCAATGTTTGTGCCTGAAACTCTTTGGAAATATTAATGAATGTTTGGTGATACTTTGTATCAAATCTGGTGTTCTAACCTAACTCTAATTAGTTACTGAGAGAGGGCTCTATTTGCGTTATTTGTTGATCACCCCTTGTATAATAAAATAAGACGATTAGAATACAAAATGGTATATAGAAATACAAAATTTTAAATCTTGTGAATCAATCTCATATTAAAATCGAATATTTTTTGTAACTGGGGATCAACTGATGGCCGAACTTCTGGTAGTGGAATTTGACCGTCTTCTTGACGTCGACTTAAATATTTGACCCGTAGAAAAATTCAATAGTTATAAATCCGTTCTCTCATTTAGGAAAAGAAGACAGTTTTCCATTTTATAGCAATGATACGAAGGCATATTTTACTTGCAATCGTTCGATGAATTGGTTATCAAGAATTAATTTAATTTGCCATCCGTTATCTTCAGTATGCATCCCTCTTCTATATCTTAACGTGCAGTAATGAAGTTGCGCATTAAAAATGTGTTGAATCCGCATGAAAAACTACATAAATATATATTTATCCGACATATAACACATTATATTTAAAACATTTTATTCTATTTATACATTATTCAAAATACATTATTCTGAGCTCGATCCAGGCGAGGATAGGATCATAAATGTTGTTTTTGTCATAGATCGCAGACACGAGCTCATTGGGATAGACGTCCTTATGTGGATACTATCGTACATGTACTGTACCTTATTAGGTTGCAGAAACATTGATTTTCTGCTTTTTGCATTTAAAACACACAAATCCTCTTCTGTCTTTGACACATGATTCACACTTCGTCCCACTTCTACTGATGTTCTCTTCCATTGCACAACATCCAGTACATTTGTGGAGATGCTTTCTAAACACTGATCTCACCGACTTTTTACGCCATTTTCGTCTGCATGAATCGCACTTCCATTTGAAGCTGGAGACATCTAAATATGCAAGGTGAATAGTAATTAACCGTAAAAAGGATCTGAATGAATATAAGCATAATTCGTTGGGAAATAATGTACCATTTTAAAGACTGAAATATCTTTGCCCTTTGAGTAATCTCATTATTCACTTCATGATAAAAGTTCATTTATGCTGAATGCTAAAATATGTTTTATTTTAAAATGATTCTGCTTGGACCAGCAGATCGATTGCTTTTAATTGTCAGTCTATTTAAAAGTCGTCCAGGCCCTTAGTCAATGACCCGGCCGTCAAGAGGTTCATCATTCTGAGAATTTTCATGTGATTTTCATATCATATTATTATGTGGACCAAAGTCAAAATGACCACCCCTGGACTTTTTGTGAAAAGTGTACCCCCTTGGCGAAAACTGGGTACGGGCCTGTCTTCCAATTAAAACATGAGATAATTCCGGAAGATAATAGTATTCTTCATCAAAATTATCATCAAGGGGAACCTGTTACATGAAATTAAACCAACCTGTTTTTCCACAGTCAAGCGTACTTGTAAATTGAGTTGGGGCACTGGTTGTAGTAATAGGTGTAGTGATGGTTGTGGCGGATTCAGTCGTAGTGCTCTGCGTAGCATTACCAACGACACAGACTGGTTGGTTAACTTTACTTGAAAAATGTTCACATGACAGCTGGTCTGGCCAATTAAATCCAAATTTGTTCATCAATTCTTCACAGCCTTTCCTGGCTTGTTCGCATAACTCCTTGCATGGTGGAATGGCTGTTATCAGTCGTGTGCACGGTGGAGCATAAACCACACAAAGAAATAGCTGTATTGCAGGGCTGCATTCCGTCCTTACAAGAGGCAGAAACTGGTGCAGTTCTAACCCAGCCTCCTCTTGGGTTGTGAAGTTTAATATATTTGGCATTTGAGTTTCATTTTATCCCATATCTTTACATAGCGGCAAAGTGATTTTCTCGCAATGGTCCTTGGCTGCAATCACAACATGAGCAGAAAGAAGATGAAATAATATGGTAAGAATCGGCCCTGTTTTTCGCAAAGATTTTGCCATCGTGGATTCTCTTATCGTTTAAACTTGGAGGGGCTACGTAGATACAGTACTTAGGTTTCTGTCTAACAAATTGTATCAGTAAGTATCACTTCCAGTTCCTCTAGTCTTTTAACGTTTTGACTTATTGTTCAATTATCCATCTTATATGCCAGAGCTTCTATTACGTGCAATATCTGACCTCTACACCAAATAAGCTTTTCAATTTCTGAATGGATACTTAATGTATTTTTGTATTGGATATGGAAATTGGATAACTAGCTGGGAAATGAGCATTTATTTCACATATAAGTGGCAGTTTAGTGCATTGTATATCGAAGTGAAATGTTGATTAATTTTGACACATTTTGGACAACAATAACGAATGAGGAAATTGGCAAGTAAACGTCCTATTGGTAATGGATGATGCGATATGAGGGAATACAATGGACTGTATCTAATGAACGTGTTGACTTTCAGTATTAAAGGTACCAAAATCCCACTTTCTTCTCTCAATAACGCAGAAGCGAGTAGGGGCTTTGTATAAAAAACCTCCTACCCACGTACCCTCGTACCCACGTACGTGGGTCCTGACCCAGTCTTTAAAGAGTTAAATTTTTAAATGTTTAAAACATTATTCAATCTCAGTTTATCCTGAATTAAAGATGAATTTATGCATCCATATGCCTTTATTTATAGGTCTGACATCTCTCTAGTAAAATAAAATAAAGCCGGAATTGCATAAATGTTCATTATTTTTGAGCTATTTGATTTATGTTTTTGATATGTCGAAATGTTTTTTGTTGATCGGGCAGTCTTACCTGTATAACACATCAGTGCTGATTAGCAATCTCCTAGCCTTCGTTCAGTGCAATCCGTGCCTCCTGTTACCCCATGCAGATTGTAAATGTCCCGGGAAGTTTACCCTTGTCCAAAAGTTGACATCTTTTTAAAAATATATTTCTTAGAGTTTCCAACCAATTAAATTCACCACATTTTATTAGATGTTTATTTCAAGTGTTATTAGAATTCATTCTTACGAATATTATACGTTACGGTTATTAACGTATGTTAGTCAAAGATTTGGTGTCGTTGTTGTCCATTGTATTCACGTTTTACGCGCAAAAAGCTAGAAACTACAAAGCTGAACTTTTATCATTCAAACCAGTTTTACATCAAATCATTGTCAAAATAAAACTCTACTCTTCATATTAACTTATTATGGATCAAACGGCCATGAATAATGTCGAAGTTTACAAAACCAAACTTACACTCCCCTGCATAAGTTTGGCAACTCTAACTTTTAATTCCATCTAAATGATTCACTGAACTAGTGCGCACAATTATCCTTAAATTGTGCCAAAAAGCGATTAAAAACGAATATAGCGAATCCTTCTACTTTTCAAATATTTCGTTATGCAATTGCGCCACGGTTAAACAGAAATGCAGCCTTTATTATTCCTTGAGATCGTGTGAATTGATCACTCTATCACTTGTATCTCCAATTCTGATGTTAAATTAAATAAAAGACATAAGACAAATTACACGTATAGTTCAAATCTGTCGTGCAAACAATGAATACTTGTAATATCGTTTGAAAGAATAAAAAGTATATGTGATAAAAATCGAAACTACAGGGTGTTAAAAAACAGGACCGATGAAAAGTTGAATAACTTTGTCAATCCAGAATCATTCAGGTCATTCAATGTGAATTTTGTTGTGAAAGTTTGACCATATTCTGCTCATGGAGTCAAAAACTACAGCACTTTACAACACATGCCCCATGTGGCCAATTTGCGCCAGGCAATAGATTGGTTGTACACTGTAAGACTGCCCGATCAACAAAAAATCGCTTCGATATATCAAAAACAACACTCAAATAGCTCAAATGAACATTATGCAATGCCGGCTTTATTTTATGACGAGACAGATGTCCGATCTAGAAATAAAGGCATATGGGTACATAAATTCATCCATAATTAAGCATACATTGAGATAGAATAACGTTTAAAAATGTTAAAGATTTAACTCTTTAAAGACTGGGTCAGGACCCACGTACGTGGGTACGAGGGTACGTGGGTAGGAGGTTTTTTATACAAAGCCAAATGTGTGTCACGGAGTAATTTTTTAATGAAAAAGATAAGGAAAATACAGGGTTTCCATTTTTGACCACCCTGTATATGGTCGTTTACAAATGTGTATAAGGGCGTAGCGCTGTTCTTCTAAGTAGTACGCCAACACGGGAGCAAGAGTTGAACGAAGCAAAAAAGAGCTTTCAGGGGGGTCTGATGGGTTCTCTCACCCAGGAAAATTTTGAATTGCAACCCTCTGATACGCGTATGCGTAGAGAGAGAGATAAAAACGCATTATTATGTGTTAGCAGGGCTTGAGCTATGGGCCGGTCCACTAGTCATTTGCCAGGTCACTTTTGATAGGACCAGTTGATTCTTTCATTAGGTACTATACAGTGCGTCCCAAAAAAACGCAACAGAAAGACATTGTAAAATCACAAAACCAGTGATGATTACATCAATTTGATTTAGTTTACCAGGAAGCCACATGTCTCCTCTTTCCAATGGTATGTCAATTATTCGTAAGCTTATACGACCACAGACCACTGAATATTCATTTATTTTGCACAACGGGTCAAAATCTGTTGTGGACCAAGTTTTAGACATTGCAACAGTTAACAAAGAGCCACCAATGAGGTTGCTCGTCTCCACCAGAACCCACAGATGATTTAAAGATGTGCGAAATGGAGACACAAGCCAGTCTCTGTGTGTAGAGAAATAGTGGTCATGTAAAAGGTCATGGAATGTTATCTTTCATGAGTAGTCTTTCATAAGATGACAAACAACGACTGTTTATGCCACTTTTTCCATGTTTCATTAACTGAACCAACAAGGATACTGATGAAGACTTAAAGTTAAATTTTATTTTCCTTTTTTCCTTCGTAAATCTTAATCAGAAACGTGTTATGTAAATCTTGTGACAAGAATTTAATCCACCAATGATTTACCTGATTGCAAAATAAGGACCAGTTGATATTTCATAACTTGGCACAAAGGCTTTTTCACCCGTGTGCGAAAAAACAATGATTTTTCAGTAGTCCATGATCAGATATGAACAAATGACATATCATTGGAAAGAGGAGACACGCGGCTTCATGGTAAACTAAATGAAATTGATGTAATCATCACTTGTTTTGTGATTTTACAATGTTTTTGTTTGTTGCGTTTTTATTTGACGCACAGTATAGGAAAATAACATGTTAACTGGTCCGTAATGCAATTTCAGTATCACCTCATTACACCGACGCGCATTGTCAGATTTTACCGAAAACCAACTATACCGATGCGCGTTGTACCGAAAACCATT